AACCAGCCGTTTTTTTAAGGGTAAAATAAAAATTTTTTTTCCCCAAATTTAAAAAAAGCCCAAAACCCCTTTTTTTTTTTTTTTTTTTTTTTTTTTTTTGTGGATATCCTATAAAACACTTCATGTGGAGTTAATATTTTAGTTGTAAACTCTGCAAATGTTTAAATTTGCATTTTGGCAGTTTTTCCAGTAAAATCAATAGAAAACGAGGCGGCAAAACTGAAACGGTTAAAATTAAAAGCCACTTTAGTTACTTAAACTGTGTGTCAGTCAGAAAGTCTCCAAGGTTAGATTATCACTGTGGGTTTAGTGTCGCCATCGCCCCAGCTTGCTGTGGCTTCCTCACCATTTTGGTAGGGGGTGTTTGATTGTCTGCGGTGGTGATAGACGGGGATCTGTGGGGGTTCCTCGTGTTTTCGGAGCCGCGGTGTTCAGGTCGTAGTCGGGCCCTCGGCTGCGGCGCCGTCTTTGCTGCCTTCTGGCGCGACGCTGCTGGACTTCAGCTCCACTTCATGGGTTTTAGTGGAAACCTCCTTTGAAGTTGGGTCTTTGATGATTTCTGCATGATCCGGGCTTGCTTTGGAATCGGATCCCGGCTCTGGTGTGCCATTGGTGATGGGTTCTGCTGGGCTCGGTTTGGTGGGCTCAGGAGTTGAAGCTGCTGGACTCTTAGTGTCAGGTGTTGGAGTGGTGGCTGCAGGCGCAGAAATCTTCAGTTCTGGACTTGGAGTGGGTGCAGGCTTTGGATCAGCTGGACTTAGACTAGTCTTGGGTTCTGGACTTGGACTAGCAGCAGGTTTTGGATCAGCTGGACTCAGCCCAGTCTTGGGTTCTGGACTTGGACTGGGTGCAGGTTTTGTTTCAGCTGGACTCAAACCAGACTTCGTGCTCGGGGTTGGGCTAAGTTTAGCATCTACTGGTTTGGGTGTGTCCAGCTTTGCTTCGACGGGCGGGTCCGGGGCTTTTTTCGTTTCAGGGACGGGGCTTGCTTTAGGTTCTGGTACCGGTGGAGCAGCTGGCTTAGACTCAGCAGCAGAAGGAGGGCTTTGTTTGATTTCAGGAGCAACAGAGATGCTTACAGTCTCAGAATCGGGGATTTGATCGGGGACATCGGTGTCAGTATCGAGCGGGAGAGCGGTGTTGAAGCCAACACCAGAGTCACTGGTCTCCAGATTACCAACGCCAACCTCTTTAGAAGAAACCTCCAGACCCTGCATTCACACAGACAACCAGCAAACATTGTTAGCTGCTCAATTTGCAGAGTGCAGGTGAGACATTTACGTACTCTGATCATGGCTTTGAGTATCACACTAACTTAAGGCTTTCAAAGACCCATTTAAACCAACTTCATTGAAAAACCAGAATTGGTTTCTCCAAACTACAGAGGCTCAAAATTATACAGGCTTTTATCCTCAAATTAGTGAGAGTATAATTTAGACCCTGTATGCGTTAGAGAAACTCCACAATAAATGAAATCTCGCGCACCCTTTCCTATTGAAAAGCCGTATCGTCATTTCACCCTGTAAGCAGAACCATTAAAATTAACCTTTGAAAGACTTAAATTAGCATCATATTCATGTCCACGACAAACTGGAGTCGAGTCCATCTGTTGCAGACAGAGCAGGAAAGGAAAGAAGGAAGGAGTAAGCTGAAATTGCAAAGAACAGGAAGAGCTCAGCTACAATGCGCCGGGCATGGGCTGGCTGCAGGCTTTGGATCGAGGTTGAAACATATTGAACTCAACAAAAGGCCGCGGCAAACAGAAACAGTTTCAGCCTTAACTTAGGAGAACTGAAGGTTAGGGCAGGCCTCGGGTTTTCTGGGAGTTTGTTGTGGTGCAGAAAATCTGCATGTTTGCTTTTACCTTTTCAGGAAAATAAGATAACTCCCAGAAGACCTGAGAAGTCAGGACAGTTCATAAAACGTGAACGGATCAGAGACACATTTTGGCCCTAAATCATTCAACGCTTTTCTTCTTTGTTGCACAGGAAGCCACTGCAAGGAATCTGAGACCTGGACTGATGTGATCCACTTTCTTGATCTTAGTCAGGACTCTAGCAGTAGCATTCTGAATAAGCTGCAACTGTCTAAACGGCAGAGAACAGCATAAAAAATATTCAGTCATTATTAAAACTTCTCTGTCTTAGCTCAAAGAACGGGGTGTGGTGTCTCCTTACCTTGATGTCCACCTCAGTGCTTTGAGATTTCTCTGTGTTGTCTGCTTGGGAATGCTTGGACTCCTCGCTCAGTTTAGTGATGTTCTTGACCACCTGTAACGATGCAGCACAAACACATGAAGGCTAGTAATTGCATTGGAGAAACCTTCGCTGTCACATGTGATTGTGAATATACCAGACCTGTCTAAAGGCCTCGCCCTCGTCTTCTTTGCCAGCGTTCTGAGCCAGTTTCTCCAGTGCAGCGGCCCTCTTGGCCCTCTTCTTCACTTTGATCAGGCAGGACAGAAGGCAAACCAGCAGAAGGAAAGCCAGCAGGCCCAGCAGGGCAATGATGGCCACATAAAGGGTCTCCATTTGGTAGGCTGTGGGGAGGCAGAGAGAAGTAGCATATTGAGTTATAGCAACTAAAGATAAATTCCTCCTAATCAAGACATTAGAAAAAAAAAAACACAATTCTGTAGGAGGCAAAAACTGTCATGTTCAAACCTGCGTAGGTTGTACAGTAGACCAATATCTAACTTAACAATTCTGAAAAAGAGAAATAATTGAAAAGGCAGTTTAGCAACAAATGTACTTCTTCTTAGACCCGAATTTCAAACGTCTGCCTATATAAATCTTCCTTATTTTAATTGTAAGTAGTTATTTAAATGTCCTGTGAGATGATATACTTACCCATGTACCCATAACAACTGGAACTTTCAATATCCAACAAGTCATTTTCACAATTTACCGTCTATTAAACGAGTGCCCCCCGGATTAATTTCACTCTCTGCAGCTGCAGCTGTGAAATTACCGTAATAACCCGATATTGGCTGGAAAGTGCAACGTCTCCCCTTTCAGAAACCGTTGGAATTTTTCAGATAGCGCCAAGTGTGGTGGAATTACGGTACTGCAAATGTTTACATGTCGGCGGCGACAGGTTCGGTTCTAGAAGGGTTAAAAAGAAGAAAAATCTTTGAAATCTTTACTGTCAGGTTTTGAACAACACCACAGCTCTGAACATGTGCTGGTAAAGTTTTTAAATACACTTAAACAAATAGGCATCAAAAACGTATGTCTTCTGAAAAATGAGTGTAACTTGCTGGTACTGAGCTTAGCTGGTTCAGATTTTATTAAGCAAACTGGGCTTACTTTATGTCATTTGATCATTATGAATGTAAACAAAAAAAATCCCATGTGGAGTCCCTTAAGGCTCAGTCCTTAGAAAACTTTTATTCAGTATGTATGCTTTATGTAGTATCACAGCATCTTCCGTCATGTGATGGTACCAGCCAGGCTGCTGCCAGGGTCCTGACCAACGCTAGGAGAATGACACCAGTCTTCAAATCATTTTACTGGCTGTTACTGGTCATATTGGATGGTCTAGATTAGGATGTCAAACTAATTTTCGTTTTAGCCAAATTAAAATCATGAATGCTCTTGAAGGGCCGGTTCTGTCAGAATGCACTGATAAAACCTGTTCACAAACTGTTAGCATATCAATGAATTCTTCAAATTGAATAATATTATTGAACATCTTTTCAGTCCCTTAAGGATTTTGTGATACTTTTTGTAATTTTTTTTTGCTATAAAAATCATAAATCACTGTGTTTGTGGTACTATTTTGCAAATATTTGCAATATTTGCTCTTATTTATGACAGTGGACTATAATATGACATCAGTTAAGGCCGTTTAGTACAAGTAAGAAACTTTTTGAGAAATTTTGAAAAAATTCTGAAATACACTCACAATTATGTATTTGTATATGTGTGAATTTCCACGATAATTCTCAAGAAACTGGAGAAAATTGTCAGTAAACAGATAAAAACTGGATTGATTTTATTGATAACTTTATGTTTAAGCACACTTGGTGTTTAGTCTAGAATCTAGAGGGCCACATAAAAAGCTATGGCGGGCCGGATTTGGCCCACGCGCCTTAAGTTTGACACAAGTGGTCTAGTGGATCACATCAGCCCAGGTCTCAGATTCCTTCCAGTGGGATCAACATTTCAGAGTTGTCAATTACGACTCATCAGAAATCTCTTCAGTCTTTTCTGTGTAGGTCAAATGTTGTTTTTTTAATCACTTCGTATAATTTATTAAGTTTTAAACCAAAAGTCATGACTTGTGGCACCGATCTAGTCTCTATTCCCGGCTTACGTTTCAGTCCCAGATGGACAGTGGACACGGTGAATCCCTGCAGGTCTGTGATCTTAAAGAGTCCAGCATCTGAGTTCTTGATCTGATTTAGAAAGACCATCGAACCCTCCACAGAGAGGCGGTCCTTGAAACCAAGATCTGCTTGAGCCTGGAATGAAACAAGGCGTTTAATTAGAAAACATGAATAAGATGAGCCGACATCTTAGTGCATGTAATGGGATTAATAAATGTCCTACTGAAAAAAGAATGAAGAAACAGGTGATAAAAGTACACAAAGATATTGTTTTGGGGTATTTAATATATAAGCTATTGTCACAGCTAACTCACCATATGGAAAAGTAATAAAACAAGATAAATAAATACTTTAAACTCTAATTCAAAAACGTTGTTTTATAATTTTTGTCCCATTTTCTATTGGAGAATTAATTACTGTTTTCTGCCGTTTAGAAATCTAAGAAACAAGAAATTACTTAAGAGATTTCCACGTTTATTGCCCAACGATGGGCAACATTTTAACAATTATAGTTTGACCAAACAAGCTGAAACAAAATCAGTATAGAGATTTTATTGTCACGTTCCACAGGTATTTGTGTTTAGATAATTTACTTGGTCATTTATGTTTGACCTCTTGTCATATTTTGACTGCGTTCATTAATATTGGTAAGTTGTTGCCACATTAACTGCAGCTGCTGCACATCTCCTCTTATTATGTCATCCAACCAAACAGAGCCTGGAATGGGTTGTTTTTTGCAACACAGCGGTTCTAATATCTTCCAATATCCTTGGAGAAAATAAGAGTCTGTTTATAGTTACACTTGTGAACTCTCCCTTATCCATCAGCAGGACGGCTGAGGAGTCCGAGTCTCGGGTGTAGTGGAGTTGGACCAGGGAGCTGTTTAGAATCAGGTTGATCTTCAGCCTTTCATCAGGAGGAAGGTACACAAAGTTTGTGTGCTCTGCAAGAGACAATAGAGAAGGGAGGAAATCTGATAACTTCACAGTCTCTCTGCTTACACACTGCAAGTGCATTAGCCTACCATTAAGATTTGGGTCTTTAAAAAGCCATTAAAGCATGCAGGGGGAGCATAAAACTGGAGCAACAACAACATCCTGAATGAAGACACTAAAGCAAGTCATGCACAGGTAAAGATAAATATTCAGCCTTCATCTGCTGTCCTGACCTTTCACATTCAGGCACACTTGCTGTTTGATAACCCCCTGGTTGTCCCTGACGGTGTAGCTGCCCTCATCGACGCCTGTAACCGCGCTGACGGTGACGGATCGCTCGCCCACGGTGATGCGACCTCGGTAAGGCTCGGTGGAGAACCCAGCGGCCGTCAGCACCACGATCGCCGGTCTGCAGGGACGAAAGTCGAAGACGGTGAACCTTCCTCAACCTTTTTCTCGATGCGTCTCAGACTTGTCTCAGCGCATGTGCGTCAAGGCTGAAAAATGTCAGTTCTGACTCTTGGGTTCAGAAAGTCAGTGCAATGGTGCCGACTCTACCTGGATGTCAGGTTGGCCTCCACTGAACTGGGTTTGTACTCCAGAGTGATGGGGGGGTTCACATTCAGCACTGGAATATGGAAGTTCCCGCCATATTTGATGATTTGCTCGAGGGTGCAGTCTGGAGGGCAAAACAAGGGGATGAGCATTTTATCTACGAGTAAACGGGAGCAGCAAATTTAAATAGAGTTGACAGGAAAGTGCCTGACAATTTCACAAAGGCCAATGAGGCTGGATTATTTGCTTGAGCTGAAATAAGAAATGACAGGAAAACGGTACTGTGAAGGGAAGAGGAAGGAAAAACAGCTTGGCAGATGTAGAAAAAAAGGGACTAAATGCATAAAAGGAAAGGAGCAGTGACCCGAAAATATCAGGGTATAATGAGAATGATAGGGTACGAATAAAACTTAAGCAGAAGGAAAGACAGAAGAGACAAGATAAGGACAGGAAAAGAGAGGGGACGGACGGAAATAGGGACGGGTAAAGAGCTGGATAATTGTTGCCTGACATCTCCAGCTTTGCTCTTACCGTCACAAACCAAATGCACCTCTTCATTAGCTCACATTACTCCCTCCATGTGGCTCTGCACCCACTTACAACAGTCACTTTCATCCACACTCTGAGTTTAAATTGTGATTCAGTCTCTTGTGTTTGCGCTGGATTTATCTGACTGGGAAAGAAGTGATGGACGTGACGACACAGTGACTCTGACTCTGGCCTGGGGCCTAAAGTAGAAAACCATCCAGTGCCCTCCACTTTAATTATAACCTCTGGTTACGATTTGAATAAATTAAATAAATTAACCTTTTTGTGGCAGTAGTGTAATCACACACTGCATAAAAGGTGGACATTTTTATTTAAGTAAACCCATATTAGAGAGGAAAAAAATCCACATTAAAGCTTGGGTATGTAACTTTAATTTTAAAAAATTGTTATACATATTTCTTAAAATTATTTCAGTAACTACAAAAATAAACCACTGGGTTAGAAACAACCAATCAGAGCCAGGAGAAGGTTCTTAGTGTTGTCAATCAGGCTCATGTACACGCTGCTCACACCCTCCCCCTTGTTCTTTACAGCTGGTTCACCTCAACAGAGCCAGAAATGAATGTTTAGGCTAGTTAGCATGACAGAAGACGGTGGATAAATGGTGTTCCTGTGTCTGTAAGTAACAGACACGTTGCTTGACACATTAAACAACGTGTACATGAGCATGACTGACAGCGCTAATGCCTTACTCTTGGCTCTGATTGGCTGCTTTTCACTGGGAGTGACGTATTTCCTCAGACAGCAAAGCAGCACTGCGAGAAAGCAAAGGAGCCTGATTGTTTTCCCAGGTTATCTGTCTCATATTATACGATCTCATTATGGTGACAGTTTTAACAAATGTTATAAAAGTTACAAAGAATTACTGATTTATTGATTTTATGTGCAATGGCTCAGGAGGTGAATGTTTAAAGTGTAACCAGTGAGTTGCTGGTTTGAAATCTCACTCTGTCCATCTCACCCAAAAGCCCAAAATCTCAAACTTTCAGTGAGTAAGGTATAAAAGAAGAACTTCTTGGCGATGGCAGAGCTGCACAGGGCCTTTCAAAGTGTGGGGCGTGGGCCACTAGGGGGCGCCACAGCTCTTTAGGGGGATGCAACAAGAGGAAAAATATAAAGTAACATTTAGCCAACTTCACAGCCATTCATCCAGCCACCAGCTGTGTTTCTGTCATTGTTATTATTTTGTCTGTGAGTAACTCTACGTCCTTTTATTAATTTATTTGTTTATTTGCATTTTTGCAATGTAAATCAAATTTATTGTTTTGCCTGTTCATTCACCACAAACTCTTAGAGCCAATCGAATTCCTCCTCAAGTATAAGAAGAGCAAAAAGTTTACAGAAATAAAAGCAACAATGTGGTTGGGAGTGGAGGGGGAGGCTAGCTCTCACACTTTGAAAACCTCTAAACTTTCTTTATTGTGTCAAGAATACAATTTATTTGTTGGTTCGTTAGCACAGTATATTGAACAGGCACATAAGTGTAATTTTAATTTCAAATTTCTGATAATTACTGATTTGGTAAGTAATATATTTCAGTTTATACGTCATTAAATTGAGATAAAAAGTAGGTGTTCACTTCTGTCTACTCCTTTTCAAGCAAAAAAGTCGAGGTAAACAAAATCCTTTTTCTCTGTCTTACTGATTGCTCGTGTTGTTTGGAATCTGTTTGAAATAAATAAATCAAATCAAACCAAAGTGTGTTTCATGTTTCCAGTTTTCAGCAGATAAAGTTCTGTTTCATCGCCCCTTCCAGCACATCCTTAAAGTTCCCGATGTGTCGTGTTGCTCCGTACCTCGGACTATTAGTGAAATTTGCTTGATGACACTCGCGTCCTTTGAGTCCTTCAGGATGTACAGCCCCTCGTCCCCTTCACCCACACCCTCTATGTTGATGTAGTTGAAGTGCAGGGTGGGTTTAACCCGAGTGCTGATCACTTTGCCGCCCCTCATCAGCACCGAGGTCTTCCGAGGGTCGGAACGGTTCTTGAATGTGACCTCCACGTCTTGTGACGGCAGCAGGATGTGGAAATCCTCTCCTTTGAATAGAGTTACGGATTCCTCCGTTTCTGGATCGGAAAAGAAGAGAAAGTAAGTACCGTGAACATTTCCACTCAGAGGGAGAGGAAACCTCTTAAGTGATGCATCAGAATCATGCGATGTGGTAATAAGAGGCACTTTTACCTTTTAGAGGGGCAGAGATAGCTGCAAGATCAAATAAAACAGCAAAAAGAAAACAATTTGAAAACATTATTTCTTTTTCTAGCATAACAAACTAATATTATTAGATATCACTTCCTTAAATAGACTGTCTCACACTCGCCAGTATAACATTAAACTTAAAATCAAAACATAAAATGAAGCTGTAAAATGGTTTAAAATGTTTGTTAATGCATCAGAAACGTTGATTTTTACTCCACATACCTGCAGAGATTAGGAAACTGAGCGTAATCACTGTGACTGGCGCCATTTTGGAAAATTCCTTCGTATCTGAAAAGGATAAAAAAATATATATAGATGTTTACAGTTTTAAAACAAAAAAACTTATTTTTAATTGTGCTCTTTGTAGATATGTATAAAACTAATTAAAACATATTTTTTTATTTTACTGCAGTGGCTTAATCACACACACACACACACACACGCACACACACACACACACACACACACACACACACACACACACACACACACACACCTCTCATCCAATAAAAAGTGTCCACATTTCTGATGAAATAGCTTTTGTGGTGTAGAAAAATGAGGCCAACATAAATTTCTTCAAATCATGTTCCACCTTTAATTTGGAAAATTTAATCTGACAATCAAGCAAATCTGTTAGAGCTGCAATAAGAAAGTAGCATGAGTGTGACAAACTAACGTTTTGTAAAAACATCTTATAATTCAGATCAAATTCAGTGCTTTTTCACAGCATCCCACATCTTAACTTTAATATTTAATATAAACTTCTCAGATTGCGACACTGCTGCACCGTTCCAAAACTAAATAAAAAGGAGGGGCTTCCGATATTAAAGTAAAACAATGAGAGTTTTTTTTTTTGTTTCAGTCAGGTAAGGAACAATACAAATAACAAAAAAAGACTTTTTGTGTGATTATAACAAAAGAGGAATACAACCAGGTCACAATGCTAAGAATTAAAATCCCTCTTCATCCTCAGCTTTCTAGGAAAAATGGCTGGAATTTACAACTTTTCATGAACAAATGTAACCTTGGATCATGAAAGTCTGTTATTTTTGTACCAAACTTGCACTTTGAATTAGTGACCAAAAGTTTGAGCTTATTTTCGTCAGACCACAAAACATATCAACTAGCCATGTACATAAACCAAACAGATTTAAACATCTTATTGTTCATTAGAAGCAAAATTGTATAATTATGCAGAATTATACAGTTTTGTATATATGATATGGTGTTTTTTTTGTTCTCTTGTCCTGACTGATACCTTTGTACAACATGATTATACTGATGCTTTGCAATCAGTAAATTATGGCATTTACTAAAGAAAGCAAATCAGAAAACAATAGAAAACTTTATTCAAAATTCATAAGGTTCTATATAAATACTAAGAAGTCTTTGATGGGTGTCAGATGCTCCCAAACACACATCGGGATTAGAACAGATAAACCAGCCTATATTCAACATTTATCGATTATTCTTAAAAGCTGCATGCCATAAAACCAGACAATTTAATTTAGTTGACGTCTTCCATTTCTCATAAGGACAGCACTCAAATATCCTGACAGAATTACACCAAAATTCTGTTTTGGATCCAAACAATCCAAAACTTGTTTGGATTTTTTCTTAATCCCCAGTAAATTCAAACTTTTGCTGGGAAGTTTTGTTTTTAAAACTTGTGTGTATAAACATTTCACCCTTGAGAAGAAATAATTGCAATGTACAATTAAAAGTCCAAATGAATAATATTAACACTGAAAATGTGTGTGAACTTGTGCCTGACACTGTAAATACAAAATGTATTCCACCAAATATTGATTTCTGGACTCTTCCTGAGTTAAAACATTAGTATTGTTGTTTCTAAAAGAATATGAACTTGTTTTCTTTGCATTAAAGCACTGCATCTTTTTGGTTAGTTTGACCATTTCTCATTTTCTGCAAATAAATACTATATATTTGTTGGGAATTTCAGAGACATGTTGTCAGTAGTTCATAGATTTAAAGAACAATGTTCATTTTACTCAAACATAAACATATAAACAGTAAAATCAGAGAAACTGGTAAGTTTAAGTTGTATCTTAACTTTTTCCAGGTATGTGTGGTTCTGATTTTACAAGATCAGGAGAGCAAAGAAAAAGCTGCAGTGATGAAAGACGAACAGTGCAGCATGAAAACAGCTGACAGAAAGAGTTGTTTACTGCAACAAGAATGGAAAAGAGAAATTTAAACCTTCTTTCTATCTGTCTTTGCTTCTCTCTTTGCTTCATTCCTTCCCTCCCTTCTTTCCTTTCTTTCCTTCTTATTCATGCCATCTGATCTGTCTGCAGAGATTCTTGCAGCCTCTGCAAATTAAGCATATCTGACACTGTCGCCGGGTTACAGTTGGTCAACAGGGATAAGATCTCTCTGTATTGCCGATTCTGTTGAGAAAGCTGTTTGATTTCACAGCAAACTCTCCATTTAGTTAAAAATCTGCTGTACTTTTGGCAAAGAAACAGTTTAAAGACCTTCCCAAAAGTCACTCATGTCTTAAAAAGGTCATTACTTGGAGAAGGATGCACATTTTCATGAGGGCCATCTGGCATTGTCATATACTGCTGATTGCTCGGCCGCATTAAAACATAATAGTTCACGAATCTTGAGGCATGAAGTAATAGAGAGCAGAATAATGACTCAGCTGAATTTAAATCAGGAATTGTGTAGAAGCCAAAAGGGTAGCGGGAAGTTTGTTTTCCTCAGAAGAATTAAGCTGGAACACCGAAGGAGGAATTATGATGATGTTGCAGATATATCTGGGGGGGAAACATGATGAAGGTTTGTAGAGAAAAAGGTTTTGCTGCAGTTTTCTCTTACACAGCCCAGGAGAGGACTGGGAGGGACACCTGCAGTGCTTGCAGTCTCACTTTGCGGCGGCCATTAAACATGCGGCACAGATTAAAGTGTCTCTTTGCAACACGAGAGACACCATAAAACCTGCCAGTCTGTCTGGAGATAATTCAAATTTTACCTCCAGAATTAAGACATGTAATATTAGCGAGTTTCCAGAAAACAGCAGCTCCTCATTGCTCGCTGTTATTTAATGAATGCATTTTGCACTGTGTCATAATCTGACAACCAGAAATGCTGTTTCTAACGTCACGAAAGCCTCTTCACTCTGGGCAGGGAGCCTAACAGCCCACTCACTCTATTGTATCTGAAACCAAATGTGTTGCACCAAGCATTGTTTCCTGCCAGACAAACCATTAATACATTTACAATTGATGAGATCAGTCCCAATCTGCCTTTTTAACTTAATAATGAGGGTTTGAAACGTCCTGTGTAGGTGCACAATCATGCTCTGATTGCAGCAACAAAACAAATGACTGCTTGCTGCTCCTGACAGAAATGAACATTTAATTAAAGCAGTAATGTGAGGTGCAGGATTGGTTGGCTGTGGTGCAAAAAAGAAGGGAAGCGTGTCCATCTGTTTGTCACAGCAGTTGGCCTCGTTGGCAATCTGTTTCAAAGCAAGATCCTGAAGCAAAATGTGAAAAAAAATGAAAAAATTTTTCTGTCTGTGAAGCTTTGAAGCAAGAAGTAAAAGAGTCCCAACCAAGCACAAACATATCGACACATAAGTACAGGTGATGTGGTGGCTATGAATGAGGGCCATATGACTGGAAGGCATAACCAAGAAATTGACACAAAAAAAAGCAATTGCACTAATTTGTATCTACATTTTATAGCTTTATAATGTCATTTTTTGCTTGTAAAACTAAATACATGCATTTATGTTCCTGTATTATGGCTAACTGCCTTGGGTAGAGTGTCCCGCCGGGTGATCCAAGTCCTTGTCAAAATAAAAACAAACAAAATATTGACTAAGGCTCAGTTTGTCAATTCAAACCCTCAGTACAGAACTGCAGATTACAATTTCATTCCTGTAAGCAAATCATCGTTTGACTGTTTACTTATTACTTTATTTTTCATTACAGTTAAGTATCTCATGAGTTATGGAGATAAACAGTCATAAACATGTTCATTATACCTGAAATGCAATTTCATTTAAGTGTATATCTTTCTAGGAAGACCTGCTTTTGTTGCTAATCCTTGTTTGATTAAGTTAATTTGATTTAAACATGCCAGATTATGATCCCTGATCAAGCCAAATTATCTCTATGTGATCCTCATGTATTGATAAAGGTGGTAGAATACAATGGCACAATGCAGTCAATGGGAAATGAGCAGTTGTCAGTATTTGCCTTTGTCTTGTGTAAAAGGTTCAGACTGTTATGAGCCCATAATTTTAAGCCTGACTTGTAACTATATCTGAGGCTCTTATTTTGAAGTTACAAAGGAAGTAGTTCTTGAAGTGCTCCGTTATCTTGACAGAGGCTAATACTGTTCGTTGGGCTAACCCATCAAAGTTGGTACAGCAGCTTTAAAGAAGTCTCACCTTTTAATCAGGCAACAAATGTGTAAATTTTATATTCAAGGCTAAAAAAAAACTTAATTGTGAGACAGACAAGCGAGAGACAAATGATTTTTAAACACAGTGACAATGCGTTAACGGCTAAAGCTAAAGCTAGCATCTGATTCGCAGCTTCTTGTCAGAGCTAACCTTAAAAGGTGAATAATTAGAAATACTTTTTTCTATATGTGAAAACAAAACAGGCTTTTTTTGTACTTTAATTACATTAGCAGCATCTATTGAGGCAAGCATAAAAAACCCAATATTTGGACAAATCTGGATTTTAATATTCTGCATTGATTCTTTCTACACGTGAAAACAAAAACAGATGTTTTCTCCTCACTAATTAAGTGTCTACTTATGACTTAATAAATATGATTTGCTACAATGTAATATACAATATCTATCTGTATAGATATAAGATATCTGCAGACACACCACTTGGAAACCTATTATTCAGTTTATTTGGGATAAATAAAGTATTTTTGAATTGAATTTTAATTTTGAATTTGCTATCATTTATACTCTGTTTAAATAATTAAATTTTTATCGTTTCCTCCAACAGCCTCTATTTTCTTTTGCATATCTGGGTGTTAGTTTTCCATCCTCTTTCATAAATCTCCTCCTCTCAATATGGCCGTCTTCTCTTCATAAATATCCCACTTTTCTTAAGTTCCTCCCTGATTCTCCATCTCTCTCTCTTTATCAAGTCTCTTTAATCCACTCCTCCTCATCATCATCATCATCATCATCATCACCATCACCATCTTCTACAATCCAAGCCAGTAAATCCCACTCAGAAATCAAGGCCTGTTCCTGTGTTTTCTTCTCGCTGCTCGCTGAACGGGGACAGACATGTCTTTGTCCCCCCCGGCCTTCAGTGACTGCAGATGTGTGGGAGCCTACAAAGCAAACCCTGTGCCTTCATCATCATCATCATCTTCTTCGTTTTCACTTTGCTGCTTTTGTAAAAGAGTTGGAGGACATGAGGTCAAGTGCAACTATGATGTGCAGGGCTACTCTAAGTCAGCTCGGATGCATCCAGGCACAAACTGTGCTCATTTATAAGTTATGAGGAACCCAAAAAAAAAGGAATAAAGGCTTCGTTATATAAGGAGAAAATGATTAATGTTTGCAGCAAACTCAAGATTTTCGGAAACAACTCCTCTCACACAGGGCAGAAAAACATGAAATAACCATACTGTCAGGACAAATTTCTAATTTCCAACATTTATCTCTCAGAAGCCTGTAGCTGCTGATAACCTATTTCCTTAAGCTGCAGTGAACTAAAGGATCAGACATGTTTCCACCATATTGCTTGCACCTGTCAGCTCCATTAAAATCAGAGGACATGAGGGACGGGGGAGAGGGGATGGGTCGGAGATACATGCAGGAAGAATAAATAGAAAAACAGAATATCTTTATATGTGTAAGCCTGAAGTAAGACTGCATACAACAAATTCACGTTATAAGAAATTGTTTTGAGAAATTCAAGTCTCATTAAGCATAATGAGGAAGCTCCAGGCCATAACCTACAAGATTTATCTCAGAAAAATGACATTATACGACACCAGAGAGAAAATTAGTAATACGAATATATCAAATACAATCTAAATGAGTATATATTTGAATTTTTAAAATATATTTAAATACATATTTGGCATAATGATAGATTTTAAAAAAAAATATATATATATATAAAGTCATTTCTGCATCCATATGCATATTTGCAGATATATTTTTAGCTCTTAAACTATAATTAGGTCTCCCCTGCAGCCGGTTCCATACCTGGATGGTTCAAAAAGAGCTGAAGATCATTTCACACCTTTCCCCTCCGCTGATAAACCTGCACGGCAGCTCAAAGTGTGGATCGGTCACATCCGAGTCGGGACAGCTCATCCAACAGAAAAAACCCTGCAAAATTTAACCCGTCCCGCTCCAGACACATTTGCAGGACCCACACACACTCCTCGGCTCATGCAGGGAGGATAAAAAAGCCATAACCCGCCTACCTCGTTCTTCCGCCGGTCGGTCAGGGATGCGGTCCGGGTGATGCTGATGTAAGGACGCCTTTCAGAGGTGATTCTCTGCAGGAATGCTTGCCTGCTCTCCCTCCCTTCCTGCCTCCTCTGAGGAGCTGCACTTCACGACTCGGGCACCAACATTTGGAAGATGATCAGAATATGTCGGGCTCCGCTCTCGGAACCACTCGACTCGAGTTCGGGAAACACCGGGGCCCCGGCGTCCAGAACTACATCACGACCAGCGGGATATTAAGATATGTGACAGTTTGGCGACATTTATTTACGTCAGAATGAGATTTGAAATATATTTCCGCCATTGTTTTTGTAGAATAAGCCCTTCTGCTATAGCTTTTATTTCGTAAAAATAGGATAATGTTTTATTGGTCCCATTTTATCAATGTCAGGTCAGGTCAGGGGTGTCAAAAGTGCGGTGCGCGGGCAATTTGCGGCCCTTGAGTTTGTGCGTTCCCCACTGCCGGAATGCTGAAAGACACTATCAAGATGTTTTCACTAATAGATCAAAAATATTTATGAAGTTAGGTACAAAACAAAGCATTTATAAACTTTATAAGTTTTCAGACCCACACTATTATTTGCAGGTTATCTCATTCAAATAAATTCTTGCTGCGGTTTGCAGTTTTTTTTAGATTTCTTGAAAATAGTTTGTTGCTGTTTTCTATGCAGAAATACACACTCAGTTGCCCATTTCCTTTAATTTCAGTATGCTATTTTTAATAACTGTATTAATTTCTCTATATTTTGTCCTTAGTGTTTTCTTTTTTTGTTTTTCCCATCTACGTGTGACTTACTGCTGGCACACCAGACGCTTCCCATGGTGGGACAATAAAAAATATTTATATTCTCTGTTTGACACAGTTTTTATGTTTTGGAGCTCCAGTCATTTACAAATCCTTTAAAAAAAAAAAAAAAAAAGAAAAAAAATATTAGTTTCAATAAAATATTGCATGCTCAGATTATTGTTGAGCAGGAAAAAAAAAATAATTAAAAAGTAAAATACATATTCTGACATCCAGAAGTTCTTTAAACTTAGAGTTTGGAATCTCTGGCAAAATGTTTGGACATCACCAAGTTAGGGTATTATTTAAATTTAATAATATTGTCTTAAATGATAAGGTCAACTATTATCTGTGCCATGGACAAGATGGTTGAATCATAAATATTTGATCGTATTTCATAAGACTATTATCGAGATATTATATCATAAATATGATGGGTCTCCTCATAACTGCAGGCTAGATATATCTTTATTGAGATATAAAAATGTTAAAAAGTCAAAGTAATAAACTTGCCAAGTCATAATTGTGATTTAGCTGTTAAAATTATGACTTAGAAAGATTCAGGTACAACTGGTAGAAGGTTTTTGCACTTTGTTTTTGAAATATTCCTAACAAACTAACAAAACAAGAGACGTACTGCAGGCAAAATGATAAATTTGAGATATTTATGCAAACATAGAGTGAGAAGATTAAATACAAACAATTCCAACATATACAAAACCTTTAATGTTTTCATGATTTGACACAATCTCTGTCAAGTCACATGTGAGGCATAAATGACAAGTTTTTGTTTTCACCTTTAAAAGACCATGTACAGCAAAAACCCAGTAAGAGTTTGACATGTAGTGAAGGTGTGTGATGGGCCAACAGGATGAAATGTTGCTGCTGCTGCAGCAGCATCATAGCTAGGAGGAAATCATGGCGTGCATCTCTCCCTGAAGGAGAGGAGATTGAATGACGCCTTAATGGAGTGGAGCTGCTTAATGGAGACAGGAGCAATAGACACAGTGGTGAGCACATGGTCATCTGACATATAAAAGGCACTATGCACATTTTATCAGCACAGGAAACAATCTTGTTGTACCTACAGACATCTGGAGCAGATGGATTTCAATAAAGAGACTTCAACACACACACACACACGCGCATGATTTAAACATATCAAACTTCATGGCGGAAACTAATCTGCTTCACGAGTCCAGCCTCCAGGAACATGTTCTAAATGTTGCAAGCAAACAGAAAATGAACACTATCACCTGAAGCAAAAACAACGTACCTAGAAAATTTGTTTGCATTTGATGGTGAATACATTCCTAACTTTTTACGCAGATAGAAAGTCTGTCATTTAATCTCAGAGACGCACAAACCCAAACGTGCTCACAGTGAGATATCGTGTGCTAAGTCTTCTTTCGGCCTCTTCCTCTGCCCTCAGCAGGCCGCGGGTTGGTGGCAGAGGGAGAAAGTGCGTGAGTCTGAAAATCGACTCTCTGCTGCAGGATTCCTGTGAGAATAAACTCGGCAGTGACGACAGGAAGAGACGCAGACACGGCGGGGCCACACAGCCGCAGGTCCTCCTCGCAGGAGATCACCACGGTCCGAGGCTGAGAGATGGAGAGTCGGGGCACAGAGGAGAGGTGAGTCAGAATAACGACACAAGACAACATCTACAGCTCTGGACTCGACTGGCACCTTGTGAGCCGCAGGCATCTTTGTCAGGAAGGTAGCGCCGCTGCAGGTGATGATGTCTTTCATGTGAACCGGTTCTGGCTTTACCGACTTCGTGACGTGGATCTCATATCCCTGAAACAAAGAAGCAAAGTGATACGTTGCACATTTTCGTAAGCAAATACAGAAGGATTCGTCTATTCTTATGGACTAACAGTAACAGAATGAGAAAATCGATAAAAAAGCTCTTGGCAACAGAGTTTGGTGAGGTGTACACCCTAATATTAGCTTGGCATCAGCATTTCTTTGTTGTTTCCAGCTCTCATCTTACCACGGTGATGAAACTCTACAACCCCGGAAACATAATAAGAACACAAACAGCAAATGTCAAATTAATTCCCACTGGTTCCCGAAACTCCACCTGAAACAGCGGCTTGCAAAAATATCCACAACCCTCCAATGGTTTCACATTTTCTCACGTTACAATCAAAAACCAAGGATGTCATCTGACATCAGCAAGAAAAAATGCATAATTGCAAAATGGAAGGGGGCGGGGGGATTTGGTTTTTAGACGTTTATTTACAAATAAAAGTCTGAAAAATGCGTCTCAGGTGCATTCGGCCACCTGAGTCGACACTTTGTAAAAACAAATTTCTCTGCAGGTCACTTTGGTCTCAACCAGCTTTCAAATATTTTTGAAAACACCGAATCATGCAGCTTCCATTAACACTTGTGAAGTGGACTGACATGCAAACAATCCCAACAAAATACATCAAAGTTTGTGGTTGTAATTTGCCAAGAGATGGAGAAGTTAAAATGGGTAGGAATACTTATGCACTGCACTCTAAACACTTTGCAAGGTGGCATGCGCGCGCACACACGCGCACATGCACACATCGACATCGGATGAGAACCGGGAATGACTCAAACATTTCTCCGTGTCTACAGTGAGTCAGTCTTTCTCACCAGCACCGCTGCGCCGTCAGCTAAAGGAAATACTCGCTACACGCCATCAGCCACTCAGAGAATAATAAGAGAAGAAGTAAAGAGGATGAGGTAGCACCTGGAGGAGAGGCTGACTGCTGGCAGTCCTCAGAGACTCCTGCAGGGAGAAGCTGAACTTCTTCTCCTGCTCCGGATCGTTCACAACAAAAGCAAGCGGAGAAAGGAAGCTCCCAGCCTTACCGCTCTGAAACCAAGAGAGGAGAGTCTGAGTGGGACTGAGCCGACCCGAGAGAACGAGTCTGTGTTGCATTTAGCAGCTCCTGCTAATGACCTGTTCCAGCCACCGAGTGGTGACGACTGGGACACCTTTGGCCACGGCGCACAGGAATTTGACCGTCCTTCGCACTTTGTCTGTCACGAGACAGTTCATGTCGGAGACGCCTCTGGCCATGGCGCCTCCTAGACGAGCCAGCACCTGCTCTCCATCTTCATCCACCACTCCTGTGAACAGAACCTGAGAAAACAACAGCACAGCTTCACGTCACGGATAACAGGCAGTTTTACTCACAAACTGAGATCTAAATCTATCTGGCACCTGATTGAGCAAATATGGAAACATATGAGCCTAATTTCATTGTTATTACAGATTTTTTTTTTTTTTAATTCTTCATTTGTCTGGTGAGTAGTGAGAAATGAGACCTTAATAAACCAAAAATAAATGTTAACTCTCCCACTTTAAGTAAAGGTTATGATACAAGTTCCCTTCCAAGATAAGAGAGTAGTATCTAGATGAAAAACACAACAAATGAGAAAAAATGCAAAATACAGGATGAAGTAGTTAAAGAAAACAGAGAAGGTACAAACTGTCAAGAAAATTCAAAAATATCACCGATCAGATCAGACATGGACGTTTTTCTGCTTCCTGTCTGTTACTGATTGCTGCCGCTTCATGTGATGTCATCAACTCAAATATGAATAAAACGGAAGTACAGTTTTTAAAAAATGTATTTATAAGAGGTGAAAATGTCTCACACAGTTTTTATTGGTGTTGAATAGTTAAATACAAAAATTACAAATCATTTGCTGCCACCTATCCACACCTTTACTATCCACGTTTTGCTCGAAATTCTGACTTTTTTTTTTCTATTTATTTACATTTCTGAAACTGAGATTCAAGTCAGATTTTTTTTTTCAGTGGCCCTAATCTTCTCCCATATAAATCTTTCATTTTAGGGCCTTAAAGGAAAGTTTCATAAAAGCTCTAATATCCTGCCTGTTTTATTTGTTGGGTAAATGACAGAAACACAGACCTTGTAGGTTTGGCTCCCGGCTCGAACTCGGCTAACCGTAGCTGGAGACGCAGAGGAGGAGCGCGGCGTCTTCGCCATGGGGGAGGAATTTGAGGAAACCCGCCGCTTCTGGGGAGGAGTCACGGCCGAGATCTGAGCGAGTTACAGAGGAGAGGAAGAAAGAAGAAAGTAGGACAAGACAGGAGCTGAGCTGTAGTAATCTGTACAACACTTATATGAATACTTCTTATAATATTGGTCTTAATTATTGACCGTTTTGTCTTTCTTCCTCGTTGTGTCGGCCCTGACCTCGATCACATTGGACTGCAAGTCGGGAATTGATAATCTGGATTCAGTTCAGTTCAGAACAACAGTGACAAAATGCAAGAAGAAAGTGTGGGCGACCATCAACTCACTGAATCCATTAGATGCATGACAAAGTTGAGCAGAAGAAAAATATGTGCCATCATATAGATTACAGGTGTAAAACCTGAGGTCCGCGGGCCAAATTCGGCCCACCATAGCTACTTATGCGGCCCTCTAGATTCTAGAGGGTGACACACTTTAACATAGTTGTATGCTTAAATAGTATTTTATCAGTTTTCATTTACAGGGTCAAATTACATCAGTGTGATGTTGAAATTGTTACATTTTAAGAAGTGCTAATCAAATGCAGAGAAATTTTTAGTTTGTTAACAGTTATGCATATATTCTCCCACAATCGGCCCTGTGAGGACCTTCATAATTGTGATGCGGCCAGTTGGAACCAGTTGGAACCAGTTGGAAACCCCTCACACAGAAGGAAGTGCATCACATAACTGGGGACATTTTGTTCCATTTGCTGGTTCATGGAGCAAAATGAACCAGCAAATCTAAAAGCTAAAAGCTTAGTTCCTACTGTGCTTTAGCCATTTTGGATGGATGTGCGCATTAGACTATAAATCTTATTTTTAAAGTGAAACAACAAAATCACCTCTGGTTCAATCTCGTTTCCAGGCGGCTCCATGGAAGAACCAGACGTCTGAGTTTCCTGCAGCTCCTGGTTTTTATTTTTCTGGACCACGGTTGTTCGACCCCTGGCTTTCTTCCCAGCAGCTCCCGCCGCCGCCTTCTTTCCATCTTTTAATTCCTGTTTAGGGGGCAACTCTTCGTTCTTCTTCACCTGAGAGCTTGAGGCTCTGCTTGTTCTCCTGCCCTGTATCCCAGCAGGAATCTCTTCCTGTTGCTCCTCTTTCCCTCCTGGTTCTGTTGATTTTTGGACTCTATCCACTTCAGTTTTTTCCTCACTAGTTTTTGCTTTTCTCTTGTTTGTGGTCTCGTCACCGTCAGTCGCTGTGGGAGCCTCAGTTTCCTCCACAGGCTCGGTCTTTACAGTTTTTGCGCCCCTGTCCCTCATGTTCCTCTTGGGCAGAGGGGATGTTAGATCAGCAGACGTCTTTTCCTGATTTGACTGAAGGCCCTCATCATTTAAAACTAAAGCTTCAGAACAACTGGCAGTGACTCGCCGCTGCCCCCTACTGGTACCAGCAAGCCTAGGCTCTGCTTTCCTTTTCTCATCTAGCTGCAGAACTTCAGTGGCTTTCTGTTCATTTTCTTTAATCACAACATCGGGCTGAGACAAGGTCTTCCTCCCTCTTCCTTGTGGTCTTCCTCTGGAGACCTTAGAGCTCGCACTGACCGCCTGAGCTTCAGCGTCCGGCTCCGCTGCGGTCGCCGTCGTCGTCCTTCGGCGGCTGCTTCTCACAGTATCCGTCTGGGAGGCTTCGCTGCTCCTCTTCGCTCCTCTTCCTCTCCCTTTGTTCTCCGGGGTGTTGCTGTTGATGGAGGAGACCGACTGCTCTGAGCTGAGGGAGTTGGAGCGGGATCGGGTTCTCCTTGCCAGGACATCCTCGCTCGAGGCTTCACACGCCGCTGTGGTTGTTCTTCTTGCAGCTCTTCGCACTCTTGCAGAACCTTTGGGGCTCTCCTCTTCGTTCTTGTCTTCTTGTGATTCTTTGGGCTGTTTTTCTTTCTCCAGTCTTGCAAGGTGTTCTTGGTCCATCTTTGTTGTTTCCACACTTGTTCCCTTTTCTTCTTCTACTTCACCTCCTGATTTCGTCTCCTTTAATCTGTGTTTTCCTTTTGATTTTCCTTCCCTCTCATTGCGCCTCTCTGTTTCCACATGTTCTCTCGCTTCTTTGTCTCCTTCCTCCTTTATATGGCTCTTATTTTCATCGCTCCTTTGTCTTTCATCATCATTCTGTTTTCTGGTACTTCTTCTCCCTCTGGACGGTTGATTAGCCGCCTTCACCTCTTCCTGATTGTTGTCATCCTCCGATTTGGCTTTCCCTCTCCGTCCTTTGGTGCTTGGTAATGGTTTATTTTCAGTCTTTGTTTGTCTATTTTGACGTGAAGAACATTGTGCCTTTTCTTCTTCTTCTCCTAATCGAGTTTCCATTGAACTCGAAATGCTGGATGCATCAAACACATCGTTTTTTTTCAGAGTATTCGCTGGAGAGACTTCAGAAATCGTAACCGGCTGCATCTCGTCCTCAAGATGAGACTTGGATGTCCCTTCATTATTCAGCTCTTCCTTCTCCTTGTGTCTTTCTGTTTCTTCCTTGTCTTCTCTAGGTTTCCCGTCTCTTTGCTCCTTTGTCTGGCTCTTTTTTTTGTCCTCGTCTTGTTCTTGTTTTCTTGTAGTTCTTCTCCCTCTTGTCTGTCGATTAACTACCTTCACTTCCTGCTGGTCGCTCTCATCCTTGTTCTTGGTTTGTTCTCCTGTTTCTTTGGTACCAGCTGCAGCGGCTTTGCTTTCCTTTTTCGTCCTGTCGATTCTTCTCTGAGATTCAGAAGCTGAGACCGGCTGCGTCTCCTCTTCCTTAAGATGAAGCCGCTTTTCCTTTCTTTTCCGTGGATATGTGACGGATTCATCGCCATCCCTTTTTCCATCCCTCCCTTCTGCCTGAACTTCTGCCTGAACTTCAGCAGGAGGAACTCCAGCAGCGGTGAGAGGAAGAGCTTTCGTCTCCCTTTCTGGTAGGATGTCTTCATCTTCACAACTTATCAGAGGCTGGGTCTGCTCATCTTCAATGTGCAGCGGCTTCGCTTTCCTTTTTCGGGTGGAGATAAAGTCTTGGCTGCTTTGTTCTTCCTCGCATGTAACCGAACGCTGAGATCCATCTGCAGAGACTTGAGAACCAACGAGTGATTGTGTCTCGTCTTCCAGCTGCAGCGGCTTTGCTTTCCTTTTCCGCAGGCTTGGCATCAAATCGTCATCATCCTCACCTGGAGTCAAAGGCTGTGTTTCACCAGAGTCTGTGCGCTGCTGCGACTCCTCTTCGTCAATATGAAGCTGCTTTGCTTTTCTTTTCCGTGGAAGAAGGATCTCGGAGTTATTTTCATGATCTCCACATGAATCCTTCGGCTCAGTTTCGTCAGCGCCGACATGCGGGGGCTGGGTTTCAGCAAGCGGCAAAGCCGCATCAGTGTTTGGGTGTGTTTCCACTTTTGAAGGTCGCAGGGACTCCGCTGACAACTCTTCGTCGTCGCCACTCTCCTCATTGTCGCTCAGACACACGGGTTGGGTTTCAGCAAGGCATAAAGGTGAAGAAGTCCGTGGATGTTTCTGCGCCTCTGAAGACTTCAGGGACTCTGACAACTCTTCATCGCCGCTCTCCTCGTTGTCGCTTGTAAACATGGGCTGTGTTTCCACTACTGATTCAGAATCAGCGACGTGCCTCTCCGTTTCATTCTTAACCGGTTCTGAGGAACAATCTGGCTCATTATCCTCCGCAGAAGAGAACATTGGCTGGGTTTCAGCCATAGCAAGTGCAGATGGAGCCACACTCTCAGTCCTGGCAGAGTTCAGTCCCTCATCTTCATCTGAACCTTCACCATACGGTTCTGGGATATAAGCCTGAGTTGCTTCCATAGTCAAGTCAACACAGGTTTCTTTTCTAGACAAAGATCTGGGATGCTCCACCTCGTAGGGCTGCGTGGCCTCCAGGTTCGAGTCATTCTCTGCACTTTCCTCATAGTCCTGAGTATCCTCCATGTTTACGCCACCATCGACTGCGGCGTCAGCTCGGGCGTTCTCCCTGGCCTCGCCCTGCAGGTGGCTGCTGTCAGACAGTCCCAGCTGGAAAGAATCATCTCTGTTGGACCGGTCCTCTGGTTTGACAGCGGAGGACTCGAGAACGGAGGTTCGGTTTGGATTCAAGCCTTTGTGGCAACTTCTTGTCTGAAGAATGAAAGACTGGGTCTCAGCCACAGCATAATCTTCATCTTCCTGACTGTCTGAGCAAGACGACATTAATGCTGGTCTTAAGGAGGAAGGTACAGCATCTGCAGGAGCAAAGAAAATAAATCTATTTAAAACTAAGCTTGTAACACATTTATAAAAAAAAATAAATAAATAAATAAAAAAAAAGAATCTAAAAAATGTGGTGTGTAGGGATGCAAACAAGTAATCTACTGATTGTCAATTATTGGTTTAGTAGATTAGATTGGTTTATAAGTGGATGTTATTAACTTCTTTGTGTTGTACATTGGCTAGCCAGCAGAGGGAGTTCTTTGGAAATTAAAGCTTATTGATCTTGGACAATGTTCTGGCATTTTTCTTTTATCATTATTTTTAGTTGAAAATTGTATCAGAATGGCAATCATCCTTTATCTCAATCATTTCTAGGACAATTTATTGTCTAGCAAAAGTTATTATTGTGACAGACCGACAAGTAACAGTGTCCATTGTTTATGTATAGTTCCTAAATATTTCTAAAACAGGATCTATAAAATAAATGTGTAAAACCCACTTCTAGGTGGATGAGAAGTGGGGATTGTGAAGGCCTGAGTTTCCATCTGCTCAACTTCTCCTTCTGCAAAAAAAAGGACAAAAAAGACTATTTTATTTTTCATTCAAACTTTTCACAACAGGGTTCATATCCTTAGGGTAAATCTGTCTTACTAGGAGACTGAAATTGACTTGAAATAATTTGCCTGGTAAAAAAGAAATACAAAAATCACATCTCTTCTGATTTCAAGATTAATCTCTGAGATATAAGAACTTCTTTCAGTGTGTTGCTGTAGTTTTACTTCTACTGTTTTCACTTGGAGTTTTAAACTTTATGATATTGCATCTGTTTATTTATGAGAGATTACCTGAAACTTGAACAGGAGTAGAACAGTTCTGCCGAAGAGCATTTTCTGTCTGTCGGCCCCCTTCTTCCTCCCCAGGATTTGCCTCCTCATCCTCCACGTCTGTATCACTTTCCATCCTAAGGTCAGCTGGTTTGCCCTCGTCTGCAGCTCGGGGAGCAACAGGTTCGTCAACATCTGTGTCTGCATCAGATTCTGGAGCTCCTGCTGCTGCAGCAGACGACACAGGCAGGTCTGCTGCAGCAGCAGGGACAGCGGGGAGTGAGTCTTCCTCCAGGTCTGTATCACTTTCGGACAAAATATCCAAACCAGCTGCAGCCACCTCCTTATCACAGGCGTCACTGTCTGGATGGAGACTGTGAGGAGAAAGAGGTTTATCAGAGTTTTCACTGAGCGTTTCGCCCATTTTGGGATTCCCCCGTTTCCCAGCCTCCTCTTCCTCATCCACGTCTGTGTCGCTGTCCAAGTGGAAATCTTCAGACTGTACTGAAGGGACGGAGTCAGCACTGTGCTCACCCTTAGGTAACGTAGCTTTGGATGTGACGTTAGCATCATCATCATCATCATCATCATCCATGTCAGTGTCACTCTCCACTGTGATGCCCTCAAGCTGAATGCCAGAAGCAGCAGGAGAACATTTTGTTGCTTCATCATTTGAAGATGACGTTCTTGGAGTTTTATCTGAGACATCTTCATCAACGTCCGTGTCACTGTCCATGTGTGACAGGACTGTGTTTGGGCGTTGATCACTTTTCCCAGCAGGCGCCTCCTCCTCCTCTCCTCCCTCCACATCCGTGTCACTGTCCAGGTTAAATTCAGGGACGGCGTCTCTGGAGACCTGTAGCGGCGACCTGAGTGATTCACCGCTTCCTGTGGGACTTTTACCGCCTTCCCTTTTCACATTATCTCTGCTTTCTTCTGAAAACGTCCCTCCTTCGGCTGCTCCTTCTCCTTCCTCCATACCATTTTCCACAAACACGGGTGACTTGTTTTTCTCCAGGTCAACATCCGTCTTCTCCAAGCTGAAACTGATGCGTCTGCTTGACCCATTTCTGCTGGAGGAGGACGGTGTGATGGAGCTTTCGTCTTCACTGCAAAACAGTATAAAAACAAAACAGCATTTAAGATCTGAAAGCAGCTGCTGGCAGATTTTCTGTCAGTAACTCAAACTTTCTGATTTCTTTTCTGTTAGCATTACAGAGCCTTTCAAAAAAGTGTCCATATGCCAAACAAAAACTTTTATTTATTTTATTGGGATCTCATGGCAGCATCATGCTGTGGGGATTTTGTTTTGGAAAAGCTGGGTAGAGTTGTTGGGAAAATGGATGGAGCAAATCACAGAGCAAATCCTAGAGGAGACTTTAGCATTAATTAGAATGATAAAGTCTAATTAATGGCAATTAATTAGACTTTAATTCCTGACAAATTTATACACATAATCAGACCTTTGTGCAGCAAAATGTACATTTAAGTGATTCATTAAACTTTGCCAATTATAGCACGTTTTCAAAGAGTGTTGAGAACAGACAAGAAAGTTAAAATCAACTGATTCCCCCAAAACATGGAAACTATTACTTTTTAATGAGGCAAGCCTTCAAAACCCTTTTTTATTATTTCAATCTGCACTCATTTACAGAACACTTTATTTGTTTCACTAAAAACAATGTTACGGTCGATTGGTTTTGTGCAGGAAAATCTCCAAATGTGGGGAATTTATTGGAAAAAATATATATAAACCACTGGTTTAAATAAAAACAAACACTACTTTGTGTTCCTTTCTTAAGCAAAGTCCAGGTAAGATGCACGTATATTTGAGGTTGTAGTGTAATGTGTAATAAAATGTGTAAATACTCAGTATAATATTTACACAGCTGTTAGAAATGCACTGTAAAAATTAAGATATGAAAACATACCTTTCAGGAACCACTTTGCTCGGAGGGCTTACAAATGCAGAATTGTTCAGACTGGATTTGTGGGAGTCTGAATCAGACACTGAAATCAAAGCCAACTGGTGAATAAAAATATAAACAGTGGTTGTGCTTATGAATCGCCATAAATTTCACATACCAACAGCCTTCTGTTTTCTGTTTCCTCTCCCTTCTCTTTCACTCTCTGAGTCAGAATCAGATTCTGGCACCAAGCTCCCCTGTGGCTGCACTGGAGTTTTCTCAAATGAGAGGCAACCGCCTGTGACGGCAGTCCTCTTAGCCTTTGTGCCACTACTGACACATTTCTTGCTTCCTGTGTCAACGTCATCCCAATCTGACAATCTGGCGCTTGCTTCCGATTGTCTTGGAGTCTCAATGTCACCAAGGGAAGAAGGGGAGTCCACCCTGGAGCTCACATACCGACATGGGATGTCCCCCAAAACCAAGCTGTCGCCCTCAGTAAGGGCATAGCGCACGTTAGGGGTCAGCTTTAGGCGTCCCTTACGGGTCCCATTCATGCTCTTTAGGTCCCAAACCAGGGCCTCCATGTCCACTTCATGCACACGACCTCTTCTCCGGTGAACAGAGATGCTGATGGCAGCATGCTGCTTGGACACAGATGGTGCCAACAACTGTAGTGTGCAAAGATTTGGGTCACGACCCAGGAAATTATCTCCCAGGAAGAGGGGCAACTCTAAGTGACAGAGAGAAAATATATTATTGGAAAAGTTACGCAGTTATGACAGACTACGCATACAGACAAATTTGTGACTCTAGTAGAGATGTGAATAAAAAATTGTAATTAATGGGCTGTTTATTACTCCTACACTGAATAATTTAAGAATATATTAAAACCATTTAATTTGGGAAGATTTGTCCTCATCTTATTTTCAGAACTATATTTTAACGTAAAGTTTGCTGAAATTTCAAAGAGATGAAGATGACATGGATTCAGAATCTTTTGGAAGAGAAAAAGACCCAAAGCATCAAATATCCTCCATAGTATTAAGCAGATATATGATGCTTTTCCAACTTTTATCTCCGATTTTACACCAGTTTGTAAAATGATCAAATTGTGAACAAACAATATGGTCCTGTTTAAAGAACTGGTTGTCAGTTATATAGAGTTCAATGGAAGTTATAGAGACTTGGTGACTACAAAATGCGACTTTTCTGAGTTTTTTTTAAACCTCCTTTACCATCTTCCTCACTACTTGTCGTGGCAAGACACATATGAAGCCTCTTCCAGATTTGCTGTGTTAACCTTTTTATTATTGCTCTGACTGTAGGCTTCAGCAAACATATGCAAGTTGTCACTTTCTTATAGCATACCAAGATTGACAAACACCTGCCTTACTTAAATGGCATGTTCTCTCCTCTTTCCAATTTTGTAAAGTGACTCAGATGAATTACTCCAAGTCATGTCATATTTATCCACCAACAGAACAGAAAATCATGGATTACTATTTAGAAGATCTGTGAAATTATGATCAATCTAAAATGTAAAGATTTCTTTCTACATGCATCATAAATGGGTCGTTGGGGGGTACAAACATGCTGTTGATTTTGTTAAAGATATTAGTATTACAATTTTTTTCTGTGTAATATGCCCTGCTACTGTTAAAGAATAAGGTATTTCATTGCTTTTTATGCACATTTTCCCCTAGCATACCATACAGTAGAGGTAAAAAATACCAGAGTAGGACACTTACCTTTCTCAGGGATGTGTGGATTATTTAAGATGCACAGTTTGGCCAGTGGTTTCCTCCTTTCATTTTGGATCTCCTCTTCACTTTCCTCCTCCTCTGACTCGAATATCGAGTCATTGATCGCCTGAGTTGCATCCATTCCTGTTAAAGACCAAAGCAGGATGGCAATAAACCCTAAACAAAGACAATTTCCCCTTCTAAAACCTACTAATGTTAGCTTAGCAACATGCTTGCCTTCTGCAGGGCTACAGCATGCAGCTAACGTTAGCCTTAGTGGCTAAACCATAAGTAATCTGCAGCTAACAGATAGAGAGAGGCTTCACTATGAGCATTTAGCTAGCTTTTTATTGAAATATTGTCTTCTTAATCAAATTTAATTTATAGGTCTGCTCTAGATAAGCCCAAGCAACACAGAAATAACTTTTATTAAGCGTATATAATTGCTTTTTTAGTGTCAAAATCACAGCAATTACACTTCCGGTCAACGGTAAACCTGTTAGCCGTTAGTGAGTTCGAATTACAATATCCCAGTTAGGTTAGCGAGAATCATCCTTATATTATAGTAACTATCCTTATTCTTTTCCAACAATGTTTACTACTTTCCGGCTAAAAATGGTCCGGTTTTGGAACCACATGGCTGTTACCTTGAAATTAGAAAGGAAGTATCCGTCTGTTAACGAGTGACTTTACAGCTCAGATGGGCTCATCTGCTGATCATTACCCTGGACGCGTTGCGTTTTAATATTCCAACAACCAATGACGGGATCATGCTCTAGCACAGGCTTCCCGGAGTCTTGCTTTACTTTGTGGACATAAACAAAATGTAAATACTAACCCAACCACGCCCACAATATGTCTTTGAGCAAAGAGCTATTGGCCAATATAAGTGTCACTTATGACGTACTCTCTCTTTCATTGGATAGTTTTTTTCCGAAAGCGTTTCTGATTGGACCAATAGTTCCTTAATGGATTAATTCGTCCATTTATTTTCGCGCCATGCACAGAGAGAGAGAGCAATGGAAATGATGGGAGGAAAAAGATAATATAGATCTCAAGTTGTTTTAGCTCAGTAATTCGCGTGAGAAAGTAAAGCTCATACATTGTGATTGATCACAAACTACTGGTCTATTACTGAAACAGTAGGTATTGGCCAGAAGCAATTTTTTTTTCAGCAACACCTTACTGCTGAGATGAAAATATGTCTGGGTGATTATCTGGGTGTCTATGTGTGCTATGGACACAAACAGAAACATATACTCTAATTATTTTTTGTTCATCACAAGTAATGTTAAGACAGTCGCCAATGCTGTCACATATTACATGTTTCTAATATTGTACACCCCTGCTCCCTATGAATTTTCAGGGAATCTCGAAAGTATTCACTGCACTTCACCTTTTCCACCTTTTGCTATGTTGCAGCTTTCTTACAAATTGTGTTAAACTATTTCCTTTCCTTAAAATTCTAAGCACAAATACTTCATTATGACAATGTGGAAAAAAAGTTATAGCTTTTACCTAATACTTTGTTGAGACATTTGTGCACAGCCATTTTATGATCTTTCCAGAAATGTTCAATCAGATTCAAGTCTAGACTCTGACTTGGCCACTCGAGGACATTCACAGAGTGATTCTGAAGCCTTTGAGATCTTGACCATATCCTTTGGGTCATTGCCATGCTGAAAAATAAACCGTTTCCCCCAGTCAGAAGTCGAGGTACTCTGGAGCAGGTTACATCACTGCATACATCTTTCCCAGTATCCTGACTAGTCGAACAGTCCCTGCTGCTGCAAAACATCCCCATAGCTCGATGCTTCCACCACCATATTTCACTTTGGGAATGGTATGAGCCACGCATGGTTTCCTCCAAACATGATGCCTGGCATTCACAGCACAGAGTTCAATCTTTGTCTCATTAAACCTGTTTGTCAGGAATGTTTTCCTGTCCCCCTGGAAAGCTGGAGCTCTGACAGAATAACCGTCGGGTTCTTGGTCACCTCGCCAACTAAGATCCTCCGATTGCTCCGATTAGACGGCCGGAGAGCTCTAGGAAGAGTCCTTGTGGTGCCAGACTTCTTCTATATTCAAATTATGGAGGCCAATGGTCACATTCTTGATAGCAGCATAATTTTTTCAGTCTTGTTCTGAAGGACAGAATTCACATACAATTCTGTTTGACCTCTGACCTGCAGTGTGAACTATAGGTCCTTGTAAAGACAGGCGTGTCTTTCCAAATCAAGTTCAATCCATTTAAGATGTAGAAACATCTCAGATGATCGATCAGTGGAAACGGCTCAATTTGAGCGTCATGAGTAAGACTGAATAGTTATGTAAATTTGTTTTCTTGGTTTTCTATTTTTAATAAATTTTCTACATTCTCGTAATGGGATAATTGTGTGCAGAATTTAGAGGGAGGAAATAGATTAATCCAATTTGAATAAGTCTGTATCAAAATGGGCATGAAGTGAAGAACTGTGGATATTCTTTGGATGCACTGTCTTGCACTGCATTTGTGAAGTGGGGTATGGAGAGGATCATCCTGTGGGTCTGAAATTAATCTTCCTCATATATTGGCTATATTCATGTATAACCATCAGGTGATGTTGATTTTTGTCTAGTACATTTTCTAGTCTAGCAATCTCCATGTCATTTAATACCTGTAACCAGGAAAAGACCACAAGAATCAGACAAGAACTTAGTTTAGTTTAGTTTGTCAACTTTATTGGTACTGAATGACAGGGGATTTCTACTGCAACCTAAAGTTTGAACACAGTTAAGTTTTCCTAGTAATGCTATTGAGTCTATGTGGGGGTATTGGTTACTTGTAGTTTGTTCCTTTCATAGTTTCATTTTGGCAATGACTTCTTGACTTCACATCTTCAGGCATCCTCGTCGGCCTCCTCCTCAAACTCGCCCTCCTCCTCAGCAGTGGCATCCTGGTACTGCTGGTACTCTGACACCAAGTCGTTCATGTTGCTCTCCGCCTCGGTGAACTCCATTTCATCCATACCTTCACCTGTGTACCAGTGGAGGAAGGCCTTGCGCCGGAACATGGCTGTAAACTGCTCAGAGATGCGCTTGAATAGCTCCTGGATGGCTGTGCTGTTGCCAATGAAGGTGACGGCCATTTTAAGACCACGGGGTGGGATGTCACAGACGGCGGTCTTCACGTTGTTGGGGATCCACTCGACGAAGTAGCTGCTGTTCTTGTTTTGCACATTTAGCATCTGCTCGTCCACTTCCTTCATGGACATGCGACCGCGGAACACGGCGGCCACTGTCAGGTAGCGGCCATGGCGTGGGTCGCAAGCAGCCATCATGTTCTTGGCGTCGAACACCTGCTGGGTGAGCTCTGGAACTGTTAGGGCACGGTACTGCTGGCTGCCCCTGCTGGTGAGGGGAGCAAAGCCAGGCATGAAGAAGTGCAGACGAGGGAAAGGCACCATGTTTACGGCCAGTTTGCGGAGATCGGCATTGAGCTGGCCGGGGAATCGCAGGCAGGTGGTGACGCCGCTCATGGTGGCGGACACCAGGTGGTTAAGGTCACCGTAGGTGGGTGTTGTCAGTTTCAGGGTACGGAAGCAGATGTCGTACAGGGCCTCGTTGTCAATGCAGTAAGTTTCGTCTGTGTTCTCTACCAGCTGGTGGACTGACAGGGTAGCATTGTATGGCTCAACCACTGTGTCTGAAACCTGCAGATAAACAACTTTTATTCAGTCTTATGATCTCAGAATAGGGAACCTACGGCTAATCAAACTAAATTTAAATCCCAAACAGATCATATGCCATCACAAGGACCAGTTACCTTGGGGGAAGGCACCACACTGAAGGTGTTCATGATCCGATCGGGGTACTCCTCACGGATCTTGCTGATCAGCAGGGTTCCCATTCCGGATCCTGTTCCCCCACCAAGAGAGTGGGTAAGCTGGAAGCCCTGCAGGCAGTCGCAGCTCTCTGACTCTTTGCGGACCACATCCAGAACAGAGTCCACCAACTCAGCTCCCTCTGTGTAGTGACCTTTGGCCCAGTTGTTTCCAGCACCGCTTTGGCCTATGGAGAAGATAGAAATTGAGGTGTTTTTTTTCTTGATGCTTTAGTATTTATTCATAAAATAGTAAGATTTATTATGTTTCTACTCACCAAATACAAAATTGTCAGGTCTGAAGATCTGTCCAAAGGGCCCAGACCTCACAGAGTCCATAGTTCCAGGCTCCAGATCCACGAGAATGGCTCTCGGTACATATTTACCTCCTACACAAGAAAGAGAAGAAGACAATGGAAGAGGAAGAGCAAAAGAAACAAATCAGCTCATTTTTTAAAAAAAAAGAATAAAAGTTGTTATAAGCTTCTGACATTACCAGAGAGAATGAGCTATAAAATGTTTAATTAAATAGTTTTTAAGAGGGAAGCTGACCTGTGGCCTCATTGTAGTAGACGCTGATCCTGTCCAGCTGCAGGTCACTGTCTCCATGATAAGTGCCTGTGGGATCAATGCCGTGCTCATCGCTGATCACTTCCCAGAACTGCAGACACAAAATGGAAGTGATCACATGACTGTTACTTTTAATAAAAAAAACCACTTCATATAACCATGTGGTTTATGAAACTGGGGCATTTAAATGGCTAAAACAGCAGTGGGATTGCATTTTTTTTTTGCAGGCTGATGGTTAGGCCAAAATCCCCCCCAACTTCCCTTTTAAGAGTGTCAGATCAAAAGCATTTCCTGCAACGCAGCTGTTAATATTTCTACAGCCGCCAGCTGATGACACTGCAGAACGCAGCTCTTTCACATGTAAAATATGATGGAGGTGCAGCACAAAGGAGCTATAGATCACTCTGCACGCCATACTGCGAATAAACTTCATTTGCATCCAGTTGCTCAACACGGGAGGACAGTGACCGTCTGTATTCAAGTCTTGTTCGCCCTTTTTAAAAAGACCGCATTCAAGATCTTTAAAAACAAACCCACACAAAAATCAAGTGTGATTATGCAGGCGATTATTGGCTTTGACCGTATTTTCAAACATTTTTTCACTTTTAATTTATTTATGTTTTATTATTTTAAAATGTATTTATCAAAATTGTGATTTCTTTTGTATGGATCAGCTGTATTGTGGGCAAGCAGTTACTTTGGGAGTCAGCGGTGGAATGCAAATCATGACATTTGAATCGATGCATGGCAATCAGTAATGCCTTCAGGAGCAAAACGAGGCCCAATAAGGTCGAGAAGAACAAAAGACCGCACCAAACAAAACAGAAACAGAGATGAGGGAACTGATGCAAGGCTGACGGTGACACAATAGATGGCTATCAGCAAAGATGAAGAATCACAGTGAAAGAATGAGGACAATAAGCAGGAAAAAAATGCCACACCCTGACCCAGATCCCTGCAATGTATGCATTCAGCATTTCTGTCAATCACAGAAGCTGGACATCTGAGTCAATGGATCCCGAGGGAATGGAAACAAATAGAGATCTTATCTGAAAGGGCAGCAGTCGTTGTTTTATCAGCTTAGTCAAACAAAGAGCAAAAATAGTGAATTCAGGTGAATAAACATTTACTTGATTACCTGTCCAACCTTATTTAAGCAACAAGTATAAGAAAAAGATGAATACTGATTTTAAGCCGTGTGCATTAGTCATAAGCAGTCTACAGAGACAATGCAAGCAGATGCAGATTAAAGCAATTGCCTCTGCATCCACTGTGCATCAGCTGTTTCCTCCAGTCTTCCCCCACCCTTCTCTTAATTTGGTTATGGAAGGAAAGACATCAATTACAAAGGAGGGCCTGGCTCTCCAGGACATAAGCACCTCTGCCAGTACTGCATCATGACTATAATGATGCATCCTTTTAAAATCCAGCCTATTGCTGTAATGCAGTCTTGAAGATTAGAAGTAAACATATGAAATGATCAGCTGTAACATAAAGAAACGATAAGACAGCCATAATAACAGGCCAGTAAGCTCTTGTTGCAGAATACAACTGTTAGAGAAAGACTGAGTGGATGATGAATTGATTTATTGGTTCCCATTCAGACTGTGCTGACATCCCACCACTTGTGAAGAGATAATTAGGTCAAATACATCAAAATATGTGCGTAGATCATCAACAACTACTGCACATGTTCATTATGATGGAGGCTTTTAGACAATATCAGTAATACTTAGAAATTCCCTTTTGCCTCAGACAATTATTCATGCCACACCCTTCCACTAGATCCCTTTCTAGACCTCTTGAACTGGAGTCTGCCTCTACACAGCCTGGGGAATCTAAAAAAAAAAAAAAAAACCTGATCAATAAGAGCTATTAATCCAGATAGGGAGGAAGAGGAGAAGTACTAGGCCTCTCCTCCAGACTCCCACTCATTGTCTGAAATACCAGTCATATCTGCCTTTGGGAGACAAAGGAAGGCAGACTGGTCTGACTGAGGGGGGCTGTGACATCTAGAGAACAGACTTGTGTAACCTCTTTCTTCTCCTCTTCAACAATGTCTGAGGATAAGCTGAAGCTAAAGTGTTGGGAAGGCGGACACGCCCGGTGTTGTGTGTGTGTGTGTGTGGGGGGGGACCCCGTCGAGACATCAAGACCCCCGGTATACCGTTATATCAATGCACAGACCCTCCCACCAGTTACCGCAGTGCACAAGATTCAACTGGAAAATCACAAAGAAAGATCTGCTGGTGTAACTTAATGAGTGATAATATATGCACTGAAAATAAATAGTTATATTCACAATTCACAAAAAAAAAGGTCTTTGTATGAGCTAAAACTGAATATATTAAATAAGAGGAGGGTTGGTTTTAGTAGAGGAAATGCTGTGTTCTCTTACCTTGGCGCCGATCTGGTTACCGCACTGGCCGGCCTGGATGTGCACAATTTCCCTCATTGTGGAAGTGAAAGTTTTCTCAGATAAAGAGCGAGGAGAGGTTGCTAATACAGCACGAGGAGCCGACTGGTGCCACAAGAGCTCGCGCTGGACAATGGATTTATAAGGCTGGAGCGTTTCCAGGGGAGGTGGGGGTCGCGGATACACCCACATGCAGCGGCTCCACAGCGCCGATTGGCTGCGAAGGACAGGCTGGGGGAGGAGAAGGGGATCTGGGCAGGGAGGAGCGACGATGTTGCAGATCAGGGAGTGGAAATGAAAAAAGGAGATTGACCAAAATTTTGCCAGCTGGTGTCCAGAAATATTTCTTACAGCTGTTTTCTGGGTCAGCCATGGCAAATCATCTCGTATCGCCTTCGTTATAGGAAACAGATGGCGGGCATTTCCGTGTCCAACTGGGGGGAAATGGGGACAATTTCACTCAAGTCCTCTTCAGTATGTGTTCAGGGGGAAAAAATCTCACTACCAGATCAGTTTTACTGATTTTGGAAGTCAGATTTAATGCCCTCAGTGTGTCCAGATGGAGCATACATTATGTGCATTTTCTTCCCTTGCCTCATCCAATTGCCTATTTGCTTCTGAGTGCAGGGAGAATGCCAGAAAATAGTCAACCCTCTATTAAAAAGCCTGGATGTAAATGGATGAGATCATTTTTAAAGGAAACTATCGGGCAGCTGTAGAGCTGTGAACAATGCGGCTACATGCAGGACGCCAATGGGAGAAAAAATAAATGGATTTAAAGACGGGCAATAATATACACTATTCAGCTAGAGACAGAGGTTTACACACATTCATCATCAGCGGTAGTTTTTATAAGAGCAATATGGATCATTGTCTATGGTGGCAAGGCCTTGGAAGGTGGGGATAGAATAACTTGACAAAAAAAAAAAAGCTTTTGGGTCTATCCCCAAGCAAATTTTTCATTTCTTATGTGCTTGTCCAGTCAAAAATATATAGATACACCCCATCAAAAATTTGAATAAATATCATAACTTGCAGATGTACCATACCTTCTTTTGTTTAATTGTTTGCGATTAGCAAGCTTCTCGTATAATTGTGGCTGCTCCTCTTTGTAGAAGCGGCACAGGTCATTTAAACTGATATTTATTTTTCTGCCACAGTCCATAGCTGTAAGCATAATCTACATATTTTCAGCATGAGTGAGTCATGTCAGAACAGTTAATTGTGTCACAGTTTCATTATTTAGTCCAACCTGCTGAAAAGAAATTAGTCTTGATGTTTAACAATTCGGAAAACACCAATATTTCTCATTAAAGTTCTTTAATGTATCATTGTTGCACCTTAGTAACAAACAGGTCATTAAAAGACCAAAAATAAATATGAGATTCATGACAATAACTTAAGTGATTCTTTAGTGCTGGAGGTTCTTTGTTTATTTACAACAATATTATCCAAATTTAAAAGTCATAATATTTTGCACATTCTTACTTTATTATGTTTAAATTTGAAGAGAAAATCACTATATAAGGGAATGAATGAAGTTTTGGGAAAGCAGTAGACTGCTTTGTCAGCAAGCAGCTTATGCTTCAAGCCATCAGAGAGCAAAGTCAGTAAATGTCAACATGTTTCAAACCACATAAAACTGCTTTAGAGAACTGAGATTATATCGCTTAGCGGCTGATAGTTCAGACAGAGATCATCATTGTTTCTACAGCTTACAGGTCATATAAATGAAAACCTGCTCATCATTTTGCTCGGTGATGTTCTGCTGGGAAAAATATGGCCGCACAAATAACATTCAACCACCTCCAGAAGGAAACACAAAGTCTGAGATTTTAACCCAGCCTGTAAGGTAACCTGAAACTGTTTTTTAAACCTGACAACGACTTCTCTGTTCTCCAACAGCCTCCACAGTCATCAGACCACAACTCACTAGAGCACATTTGGTCTGTGGGAGAAGCTTGTGACAAATCCACAGCTGATCTGATATGGGAACAAAATTTCATAAAAATGTTTGAGTCACCTTGTTAAATACATGACATCAACGATGAAGTCTGTCCTAAAGTCAAATGGGGCTCCATCATGTTTCCAAGAGGGTGTGCCTAATAAAGTGGCCAGTTATTGTGTGGCAGCAGGGTGTCCCAAGTGTGGCCCAGGAGTCATTTGTGGCCCTTGAAATACATTTGTTAGGCCCCTTTGAGCAATTCAAGAATGGTCCAAATGTGGCCCAGCAGAACATGCAGTGGATGCAGATGCACTCTTATTAAAAATGTTTCGGAAAAATTTTACATAGAAAATTAAATCTGATTAAAATGGCATATGTTTGGTACATTATAAAGTAATTAGCTACGTTTGTTCCTTTAATTTTAGTGTAATTGTGAACAGAACCACCAACATCCAGCAACTTATACTCCAAAACAGTCCCAGTCAGTCAATGTTGCTAAATATATCTGTAATGAAGGCGAACAAAGAGTGACCCAAATCCTATTCTTAGATAGTTTTGTTCTCAGCCAATAAAACAGAAAGCATTCAACTTCCTGAGATTAGAAAAAAATATGCATTTCCATTAATAAGGTGAAGTGCAAGAGTGTTTTTATTTTTATTCTTTAAAATCACAGTTTTGTTTGCTTATTTAAAATGCAAAAATAATCATTAAAAAAATCCCAGTAAAATTACTATATTTTTTAAATTTATAAAATAGAGACATCATTTTGTGGTTTGACTTATCCCCACAGAACAGGACAGGTCCAAACTGTACCAAACTATTGAGTCTGCAGGGCGGATCATTAGAGCCGACAGTCGTTCCATCCAGGACTTGTACAGGTCAGGTCAGCAAAAGGCCAGGTAACATATATCCCAACCCCACACATCCTGGACACAAATTCTTTAGACTTTTATCTTTAGGTCGGTGCAAAGAGCTATTTACAAAAACCAGACGTCACAGAGACTGTTTTCTTCCCCCAGGTTGAACAACTGATGAACACAATGAACTCCAGAGTAGCCTGCTAACTCTGTGACCCTTAAAAAGACGTAGTTAATTTGGCCGAATACTTGAAGTTTGCTTAGAGTAAACTATATTTTACATACTTAACAGCATAGTGAAACACATTTGGCTTGTTCTGTAAAGTATATAGAAAAGTTCAAGAGTAAACAAATCAAGACTTATACTTATAGATTAAATCTGCTATAATAAACTAAAACATGAACCACACTTATATGCCTAAATTAGACTATGTGCATATCTTAATCTATATTTTTGTAAACTTAAAATTACCTTATTAAAGTATAATTAATACAAACTTTTGTAAACTTATTAGTGTGTTTTCTAATACACCCCAGGTACATGGTATGTAATACTTTCTGTGCTTTTATTTATGTTCTAGTAATAAAATTAACTTATACTTTTTGCTCAGAGGAAACAAAATACAGATATTGCACTACCACAAAATGAACACGTCTGTATATTTTCACTTTATTCTTAACTTTACTCCCTCTAATGTTTATCTAATTATGCGTAATGTCTGTATTATGTGAGCAACTGGAAGTCGAGTCAAATTCTTTGTTTGGTCACACTTTATTTCTAAATTGGGAAAACATCTTTGGTACAAAAACAAAGAAAAAAATGAGGAACAGAACACAGAATGTGAAATAAATACAGTGGTACAAATAATACACTTTATGATAACTTCAAATTATTCAATGACCGACAAAATTTTACTTAACCAAAGCTAATAAAAACCTTTAAAAAAAACCTTGCTTGTGCACAGATCCAGACCAGCTTCGCCACAAGATGGCGCCAGTCAAACGGGGCGTGGTGAACGGATACTTCCTTTTTCACAACGACGTTCTTCTCCGATTCCAACTTGACGATCACGGAGCACAATCTGTCCGCAGCAGCACGACACTAACTTAACTGCATCCTGAAAAGGTTTGTTGTCTTTTATAAACCAGATAGGAACGGTTTAAACAGAAGCAGTCGATTCCGGTGTTTATTTCGCTGAAGAGTAGCTGTGTTAATCCTTTACTGTTTTCCTTTACTGTTAGTGTGTAGTAAGTAAATTACGTCCTTTCTCCTGTGTGCTAAAGGCGAGCTTATGTTAGCATTCTTAGCGTTGTGATTTTAGATCCAAGGTGTTGCTTTCGGTTTGGTCACGTTTCTTTTTTTTTTAACACGAGGATAGCTTTTTGTTAGGACTCGACACAGTTTTGTTTGGGGAGATGTAAGGGAAGATTTCCGTTTGTCGGGAAGAGGGAGGAGCCGCGGGACTGAAAACACACAGGTCATCTGACTGGCGTTGACATGTGTAAGCTGTAGTTCCCAAGAGTGTACTCATGCATGAGTATTTAAATATGTATGAGCTTTGTGAAATACTTCCAGTGATAATATCTTCTGTACTATAATATTTGCCTTGTGTTGACCTGACTTTTTAATGCTACAACAGGCTCGGCCGTTTAAAAACATTAGAACAACAAATCTTGTGAACAAACAGGAGGTCTCACTTGTATCTGTGTTTCACGCATCTTTTAGTTAAAATTTGAATATTTGACTCTGGTAAGAGAAGCAATACTTCATAATAACATTAATCAAGCTATAGTAAAAACTACAGCAGGGATGTCCAAATTATTTGTCATATGGGCCAAAATCGTTGGGTTAAAAGTGTTCGAAGGCCAATAAAATAAAAAGAATTAAAAAAGTAAAATCAAGCAAATGAAGTAGTTATTTTTTGTAGTTATAGATCTAAAAATTGAAACAGGATTTTGCACGTTTGATGTATTAAAATAAATACATGTAGTTGCGTCACATTCTGTCAAAATGCTTGCTATATGTACCCAAGTTTAATAAATTAATTAATGTTGATTTGGATGCAGCAATGTCACCTTTTTAGTAGCATATTTATTATAAAAGCTTAGTTATAAAAAGTGAGTATTTTGGGTTGCTGCAAAAAAAAAAGAAAAGAAAAAACGGTTATAATTTTTACCTTTATCACAAATAAAAAGTCTCCATCTGCATCTGTGATGGTGGTTCAAATTTATGTCATCCTTGAATAGCAGTTGAGGGCCGCACAAAATCAGTTCAAGGCCCACAAATGACCCCTGGGCCACACTTTGGACACCCATGAACTACAGTGTTGCAAAGCTAGTCTTGAAAGTACATTTTCCCCAAAAAGTTACCCAAATGAGTAAATATTGTTACTACACTCCTCTGCTCGTCTTAGCTTTGACTTAGCGACTATAATATAGGTGATTTAAGAAGTAAAGTAAAATTTAAATAAAACGTTTAGCAAGTTAGTGACTTCAAAAATGTTTCATTCTTTGGGACTCGTGCCATCTTTTACATCCCATATACAGGAAGATAAATGTGTCTTAGCTATTTGTCAGTTTGATGAATCATTTCTTCACATTTTCCAATCAATATCGAGGTTTTCATTTAATATTTAAAATGCCCTGGTATTTTCAAGAGCACTACCAAGATTCCCATGCTGTGTGAAAGAGAAGCAGGCCCACAGCATCACAGATCCTCCACTATACACTAAACTCTGCACATTAAATTAAATGTGTAATAATCTGCCAGTCAGAAGGTAACTAATACCCCTCTGTGTTTCCCTGTGGATAATTTTCAATGAGTGGGCTTTTTCCTGTAAATCTTTTGCAATTTCTGGTTATTTTTAGATTCCTGGACTAGAATCATTAGTGAAACAATTTAGCTGCTAATTTAATTTACGTCACTTTTCAGAGAGCGATGCTGTTAAGAGGTTAGTCATGAAAATGTTTCTAATAAGCAAACTGAATCTTTTTATGACAATCATTCTAAATGGCGTTTATAATATAACAACTTTAATATATTATTGTACATAATCTGTTATCTGTTATAAAGAAGCTTGTTTCAATAATAAGTTAATCACATGACAAATAAAAATCAGCTTGATAATTTCCGTTCTCATGATTAATATTTTTTAAAGGCCAATTTTGTCTATAGATTTAATAATTAGGGCTGTATAAATAAATCGATTTGGCGATATATATCGATATTTTCCGCCCTCGGAAAGTATCGATTTTTCATCCGCGAGTATCGATCCGTTAAACCATAGGGGTCCATAGCCTGACAGCTCTTTTTAACGTCTAGTTTGTTACGGCGTAGCAGCAAGACTCCGCCTCCCTCAGTCTAACTTTCAACTCGAGCTTAAAGTGCACATTATAAACTACACACCAGTTTTTAAATTGTGTTAATAGGCCAAGTATAACCAAGTATAATGCTAAAATTAGTAAACCATATTTTTCAAAATGTCAGAGAAATGTCAAAAGCGCCGCCGTTCCCCGGCTTTTCCGATTATGTGAGAGGGAATGAGCTTCCAAACGTACAAAACGAAACGAAACATTAGATTCCTGTTTTTGGAAATGTAAAATCTTCAATAAATAACAATGTGCTGTATTTTGTTGCTGAGGAACGAAGTAAAGTTGCGCAAGTAACCGTGAAAGAGAAGCGGAACGGAGAAGCGGAAAGGAGTAGCGGCGCGAACGGAGCAGCTGCAAAAGCAGTGAAATCACGAAATTGATGCAAATTTCAACTGGTAGCATTCACTTCGTAATTAGTTTTTAGCTTAGCGGTTTCTGTTCTGTATATAAAGGATTACCTGAAGAATGAACATGGGTTGATAACATCCGAAGCGCAGCGGCGCTGTGTTTTGAGCAGGAAGACGAAGAGGAAAAAACCCCAGCCGGAATCCGCGGCGCAGTGAGGATTTCCATGATAACAATGGCTGATCGATCATTCTTATTAGCAACAGACAAAAAGTATCAGAGACTGAGAGTACTATGAGATCCTGGTAAGTCTGAGAGGCAGCTACTCAGAGATCCAGGCAGGGGAATAGCGGCACTGCGTAGCTCTAGGGAGTCGATCACTACGGGGTGAGGCGGAGCCACTACTTTAGCAGTTAGTAGTAAGCAGCTTACAGCCATGGCTAACTCCGGGAGACAAGGTAGAAAAGCCTTTTTCCCCATAGTCCAAAAGACTGCATTTGTGGCTGCATTTTTACTCCAAAATGCAGCCACAGTGTCCACATAAGTGCAATCATTTGCATATTGAGAGTCTACAGAGGCTGATAATCTCCCCACTCTGCTCCTGGATTACCGTTTAAACTTTTGAGTTTTATGTCAAATCCACATGAATTAAATTCCAGCTGCAGACTGTTAGACTGTCCAATCAGAGTCAGGTATTGTGTAGTTGGTGCTTTTAATCAGTTTTCAGTTAACTAAATTCAAGTCTATGGAACACAAAATGTCACCAAAATCACTCTGTCCTTCTAAAATCTTTCAGAAAATCGTAAAAATGCACTGAATAGTGCATAGTAGTGAATTGTATCGCTCAACAAATATCGTGATACATATCGTATCGTGAAATTATTGCATCACTACACCCCTATTAATAATCCATTTAATTTATGTTTTAGGTTGTGTATGGTACTCATTTCAGTTTTATTTATTGCTTTTTGTCGTCCTTTTTTGGATATTTAAAATATCTTCCAATTCAAAATGAGCTTTTATTGATCTTTCATTATTTTGCCATTATGATATTACTTAAAAATGGTCTCAACAATATCATCGTTTATTGCAATTTATCATCCAACAAACCTTATTATGCATAGATCATCTGTCTACTTTTATGGGGTAATAAATGTAAAGGGCTTTGCTTTTCATTTGCATCTCTGCCACAAATACTTTCATCCAAATGTTTATTTTTATTATATTAGTATAAAATCCTGTTTTTACTGCTCACAGACTGCTGAAGGATTATTTTTTAATCATAAATGTACATTTTATCCCTTCAGGAATCGAGATGTTTTACACATGTGGACCCAATGAAGCCATGGTGGTGTCTGGTAATGCATTCCTGCACATTTCCTGCAATAACACAGGATGTTTAGAAAATCCTTCCAGTAGCTGCTAGAAACAGATGATAGTTAATGGCCTTGTTTATAAATGTGTTCTGCTTTTACTGAAGCTTTGTGATCCAATTATTTGCTCACATTGGATTTTTCTGCTTGGGGATTTTCCAGTTTTCTTTAATATGCTGCGACCAACTCGCCTGTATTGTGAAATGAAGCTAAAACTGATCTGTTTTCTGCTTCCTCTGGATAGTAAAGCAGCTGGTTGTTTGTCACTAATCAGATGTCTCTGTTTTCCCCACCAGGCTGCGGCCGTTCTGAACCTCTGATGATTGCTGGAGGAAGAGTGTTTGTCTTCCCGTGTATCCAGCAGATCCAGAAGTAAGCCGCCTTCTGCCTCTGTGGTTCAGAGTCTCTGGCAAATTAAACGGAGACAAATGAGAGCACATAAATGATCGGGATAGTCATTTCTTCTTCGTCACGCTTGCTTTCGGTTTTACGTCTGCAGAATCACACTCAACACCCTGACTCTGAACGTGAAGAGTGATAAAGTCTACACCCGTCATGGCGTCCCCATCTCGGTCACCGGCATCGCACAGGTGAGCGCCGACCGTTGTGTGGGAGAACAGAGTGGTTCGTTAAATCATCTTCTGTGAACATATTTACTTTTATGTCAAATCATAAAAACTCACCGATCCTTTTAGCACCACGTCAAACTTCATTGTATTTAACTGGGATTTTAATTGATAAACCATAAACTGCAGTGTGTTTAAAATCTAAAGTATTTGCTCCCTTGACTCTGATGCCACTTAATAAAATCAATGTTTAATGACACCAACAGGTGAAACAGGTGAAATGACACTGATTATCTCTTTATCATGTCACCTGTCAGTTTATTGGATTTATTAAGCAGCCAGTGAACATTTTACTCTTAAAATGAATGTGTTAGAAGCAGGAAGAACAGGAAATGTAAGGATTAGAGTCAGTTTGTCGGGGACGTCGTGATTGTTGGACGACAGCGTTGGAACAGATCCAGCTCCTGTGGGTTGTTTCCAATCTGCGGCTGTCAGATAATGTCTATTAAAACTGTTCAGAAGAGGCTGACTCAGCAGCTGCTGTGGCTCTGATTTCAGGGTTCGTATCGATGCTTTAAATCCTTCAACACGCTGAATTTATGCAGAAATAAATGCTTGATATCTGTAAAAAGTCCTTGAAAATTCCTGGTATTTTCAAGGACTGTCAGATGTTTAATCAAACTAAACTTTTCTTGTTGTAGATTAGTTAGAATTACCAAAATAATTTTAATACAAAAGCATGCCACACTTTTCAGATATTTGAGACCATGACTGACTTTCTCTTCCATTTTATTGTTATGTTCATCTTTGTGTTGATCTGTGACATACAATAGAGCAGAAATATCCTTTATTGTCTCACAATGGGGAAATTTCTTTGCAACCGCAACAACACAAAAGGCACAGCAGCAAATACTCACACAAAGATAGAATATGATATAAAAATAGAAGAAAGAACAAAAATACTACACAGTAAGGGTAAAATTTAAACAAAAACACTCTACAGTTGTAAAAAAAATTACAATGTAGTTTATGAAAAAGTTTCAAGGGATAAAATACAATTTGCAAGGCACAGTGGAAAGACGAAGAAACTCTGTGACTTTTTGTTTTACTGAATCAAATCTTACTAAATATTCTCCCTCTTTTAAACTTTTAGTTTCAGTTTTAGCTAAATCTTTTAGTTTTGTTTTTCCCAGGTGAAGATTCAGGGTCAGAACAAGGAGATGCTGGCCACAGCCTGCCAGATGTTCATGGGGAAGTCTGAGGCCGAGGTCGCTCAGATCGCTCTGGAGACACTGGAGGGCCACCAGAGAGCCATCATCGCTCATCTGACGGTCGAGGTCGGTCCGTCAAAACACCTTCACATGTTTTCACTTCAAATTTAACATCACACGGGTCAGAGCTTTGTCTGTATTGTGTTGTAAAATCTGTGGTAATGTTTTGCTTTCTGTGCTACCAGGAGATCTACCAGGATCGTAAGAAGTTCTCTGAGCAGGTGTTCAAGGTGGCCTCCTCCGACCTGGTCAACATGGGCATCGGTGTGGTCAGCTACACCCTGAAAGACGTCCACGATGATCAGGTTTGTGTTCTCCAAATAAAAGTCAAACATCTGGCATCTGCTGGCGTCTAATGAAAGCTCTCCGCCTCAGATGGCGTCCGCTGCTGAAGAGCTTGAGTGATTTTGACCCAGCTAACTCCCGGCCTCGTTTAGGCCCAAGTGCTTCAGCGGTAGTCGAACCACTTCTTCATTGGTTTGGCTAATGCACCACATCTGAATGGCTGCGTGTCCGCTCTCTGGGGTTTCAGTGTGTTAAAGCGACAAACTCATTTAACGCTGGGAGGTTTTAGGGAGTGGAAATCCTTCTCTGCCTAATCGCAGAAGCCATTTTAATTCACACAGCCATAAATTCCCCTTTGTTTTGTTGCACAATCAGCACAAGGTTGGATGACATTGGTTGATTTTGAATCTTGTGACTCTCTATGTGTTGATGTTTGGTTCTTATCCTCCTGAAACTCCCGATGATTGATTTTTATTGACTTACTTTATCCACCAAATTTTTATTTTAAATCTGCTGCTGCTGCCTTTATGGTACCGTTTTAACAGGATTCCTTCAGAAGACAAACAGACCTATAGCATCTCAAATTGTCTGCTGTATCTTACAGTTTGCTTGTTGTGCTTTTCCACGTTTTCACACTTTGTTTCATGTGTCAAACTCGAGGCCCGGGGGCCAAATCTGGCTCACCAGAACTTCTTATGTGGCCATCTAAGTAAGCTCTTGATAAACAGATACGGTTTTGTGCCTAAATATTTTATCAATCAAATCAAAGCAGCTTCTATCTGAATTCAATCTGAAAAAGTTTATTCAACTTTAAGAGGGACTTATCAAATGCAGTTGCCTGTTTATTCATATTTTAACAGTTTAATGGGTAATTTTGTCGAGAACATTCATGATGCTGATGTGACCTGAAATAAAAACGAGTTTGACACCACTGCTACAGAGTCTCTGCTGGATCTTATAATCTTGCATTTTATGATGCGAGTTTTAAACTTTAAGAGGTTTTATGTTATTTGACATAATTATTTGACTACAGATGTGGGCAGTTTTAAGCCAATATCTATTTTTTGACTTGTGGAGGTCAATAGAACATCAGATTAACATAAGTAGTATGTTTTGTCTTTCCCATTTTGAAGAGTGGCCATAAAATATTATCGTGTCAGTTCTTAGGCAGTGAAAACCTTAAGACACTGATTATTATTTAAACTTTCCTAGTTCCACCTGTGAATGAACTAAATTTCAAAGTATAAATAAAAAAAAAATGCTTCTTTTCCATTTTTATTGGAACTTGTTCGGCTATTTGTGTTTTCTAATCTTTCCTTTTCTGTCTACTCTGCAGGATTACCTTCACTCTCTGGGAAAAGCCCGGACAGCTCAGGTCCAGAGAGACGCAAGGATCGGAGAGGCTCAGTATAAACGCGACGCTGTTATCAAGGTATAGAATTACAAATGTAAAAATAAATGGTGAAAAAATATATATTTATATTTGGAATACTTTCCTTATGATCTTCCTGTCTCGCTGGCTGTACGCAGGAGGCTCATGCAATGCAGGAAAAAGTTTCTGCACAGTACAAGAACGAGATCGAAATGGCGAAAGCTCAGAGAGACTACGAGCTGAAGAAAGCAACCTACGACATCGAGGTCAACTCCAAGAAGGCCGAGTCAGAGATGGCCTACCAGCTTCAGGTGCCCACTGCGCCACAGTGCACTACAGTTTGTAAACGACGCATCACATTTTTCTGCGTCAGCCACATTTAATTCACATTTTCCACGTTTTTGAACTTCCATTTGGGTCTCCACTTCTTAAAACAGCCCTAGAGCTTAAAAACAACACCCAGCTGTTATTTGGCAATACGTTGATGTGTTTTGGTATCTGGAAAATGAGCCATTTCAAAAAGCAAACCCAGTGAAGCCTGATCGGTTACCTAGCAACTCAAGCAGAGCTTCAACATGTTTGGTCAGCTGGTTTTACCACTGTATGCTCTGTACAATGGCTGCTGGAGAAGACAAATGTTTTATTGTTGACTTGCCATCCAGAAACCACTTGCTCCATTCTTGTTGGTTGTGCAGGAGGCTCCACTTCTGCTTTTCAAAGATGTACAGTTGCATGTTTGAGCATCTGTTTGCAGCCATTTTCATATGCGAGTGTAATTGTTGAGTTGGGGGCGTGGCCACCAGCAGCTCACTTGGATTTAAAGTGACAGGACGCCGTAAACAGACCATTCTGAAAGGAACTCAAAATAAGAAGAACTGAGCAGAATGAAATCTCACAATTTTGTGCAAAAAACGTCATGAATATGTTTTGTGTAACACATAGACCTTATCCTAACCTGTTCGAGGAAGCATAATAGGTCACCTTTAAATATCCCACATTAGGTGGCGAAGACCAAGCAACGCATCGAGGAGGAGAAGATGCAGATTCAGGTGGTGGAGCGAACGCAGCAGATAACGCTGCAGGACCAGGAAATCATCCGGAAAGAGAAGGAGCTGGAGGCCAAAGTTAAGAAACCCGCAGAAGCTGAGAAATACCGGATGGAGAAGTTAGCCGAGGCACAACGGTGAGCAGCACGCCGCCATTTTGTTGAGGTCATTGAGCTGCGATTGAAAGCGAGTATCTTACTCGTTCTGTTCTTCTTTTGTTCAGTCTGCAGCTCATCATGGAGGCTGAAGCTGAGGCAGAGTCGATTAAGGTCAAAACCGACTTTTAGTTACTAATATTATTATTAATTATAATATTATGTTTGGTTTTGTGAGAAGGTCTAACACTGCTGCTTTGTTTGAGCTGTTGTCTCTAATGAGCGTCTGTGTGTTTTTGCTTTCATGCAGATGAAGGGCGAGGCCGAGGCTTTCGCTCTGGAGGCTAAAGGTCGCGCTGAGGCAGAGCAGATGGCCAAAAAGGCCGAGGCCTTCAAGCAGTACAAAGATGGAGCCATGGTGGACATGCTGCTGGAGAAACTTCCTCTGGTCAGTTTAACTCTCTCTGATAAAATAATGGAATCAAACCTTAGAGCTGAGAGAAGAATCACTTACTTAGCCAAAAACAGATTTACTTTTTTATTTTGAGCATGATGAGAAGGACATCGAAGGGGTGAGAGAGCTGCAGTAAACTCATCATTAATTATTACAAATTATAACCATGAATATAAAAACAAATAAGAACCAAGCTAACCTTAGCCTGAGATCTGAAAACATCTCGCTGTGCAAAGATCCTCAGCAGAGCAAGATGTGTTTCCTGCATGAACCAAGTCAGCCTTTAGAAATGCAGCTGAAACCAGAGGTTTACATACACCACTGTTAAATCAGATCAAACTTCTACTGTTGTCAGACAGTTAGAATTACAAAAATTACTTATGCTTGCTAAATGACACAATAAGGAGACAAACATTTCAGATTTATTATGTGGGAATATTTAACTATGTTCCAAAAGGACAATGACCCCAGTTATACAGTCAACGTGGTTATAAAGTGGCTTCAGGAAAATACTCAATGTTTTGGCGTGGCCCTCTTAAAGTCCTGATCTCGGAGCTGAACTGAGTTTATGATCGGATCTGAAAAGGCGCGTGAGCGAAGTGGACTTCAAACCCGACTCAGTTCTGTCAGGAGGAACGGGCCAGAAGATGGAGGAGGGAAACCGAAAAGTTTGAATCATTCATGCAGTTCAGAGGCTAAGCTAACCAATAAATGTATCCAACTTCAGATTTTGGAGACACAAGTAGTAAATCTGACATATTTTCTCGTCATTGTGGCTTTTAGCAAATAGAAATAATTTGTGATTGTAGTTAACATAAAGCAAGAGAAGTTTGTGGTGATTTAACTTTAGAGGTTGAGAGAAAAATGTTTGTGGCTTTTTTATATGGCATATTTAAACTTCTGGTTTCTTCTGTAAACGATAGATGATATTCAAACAACTTTATGAAACCCAGACAGCCCTCTTTGCTGTAAAATACACCAAAAATATTGGATTTTTAACCTTTTTTGGTATCTTTTCATTCCTTAAAACTGTTGATTCTGTCTGAAAACATTGTCATAATTTTATTGTAAATTCCTCATTACAACCAACCCTTATCCTTTTTGCTTTCTCTGACGTGTCGCTGCAGATGGCGGAGGAGATCAGCAAGCCAATGTCGAAGGTGCAGAAGATCACCATGGTGTCCAGCGGCGGCTCCGAGGTGGGAGCCGCCAAACTGGCTGGAGAGGTTCTGGACATCATGACCCGGCTGCCTGAGGCTGTGGAAAAACTCACAGGAGTTGAAATCTCACAGGTACTACTGAGTCCGATCTGTTAAAAGACAATTCACCTGACTGAGCAAACTGAAAATGCTGGTTTCTTATTTTTCTCCGATTCAGGTCACATCAAAGGCGTCCCGTGTGCGTTAGGACGGGTGATGATCTGAGAGCCCCACGCCTCCTCCTCGTGTCCAATCTGTACAGTCTGTCCATGCATGCTTCCCCTCCTTTCTGTGGCTTCTGCGCATTTCCTGGATGTCTGCTGTTTTTCTCCCCGTCGTTACCAACCACAGAAACACTCGATGTTTTTTGGGCCCGTCGGAGCCGTAGCCGCTCAGCCCTCTCAGAGCTGCTGCCTTTTTATACCCGATTTTCAATATGCAACTTCTTGCCTTGTGGTTTTCCTCGTCGTTCCTGCGAAGGAGCTGGACCACGAAACCATCACTCCTCTGATCAGAGTTCAGAGGTCACTGTGCCTTTTTCTAATTTGTAGCAGAACGCAAAGTGCTTTAGCAAGTTCAGGGAGCCCGAATTACACCTGCTGCTACAATGGAAGAACTGTCCCGTCACTTGAAGAGCGGCTGCTCTCCCCTGTTTGAAATCAGGACTGAAATGTTGGAAAACCTCTCAAATTTTTCATTTGTTTACCATAATAATTGTCGCTCTCTCTGCGGTCCTGACTGTTCATAACATTGAGCTCTTAAATCAGGGTTGTCAAACTCATTTTCCTTTTGGGCCAAATCAAGACCATAAATGCTCTTAAAGGGCCGGTTGTGCCAGAATGCGTTGATAAAACCCATTAAACTGTTAAAATATAAATAAATTCTTAAAAATTAAACGCTCAACATATTTTCAGTCACTCCTAGATTTCACAGTCGATTTTTTTTGCAAAAAAAAAAAAAAACAAATTAGCTAATTAGCAGAAGTATAGTAGGAAAACAGATTTTTTTTTTTTGCGAAAAACAAACTTGCGAAGTTTCCACAATTATTCACAAAAAAACTGGAGTAAACAGATAAAAAGTGCTTCAAATTGGTTGATGAAATAATATTTAAGCTTGCTGTTATCTGGACGGTTCCATTTCGGTGTCCCTTTGGAATCAAGAGGGCCACATAAAGAGCTGTGGCGACCCAGATTTGGCCCCCGGGCCTTGAGTTTGACACATCTGTTTTAAATCCTCTCTGGTAATTAAATTACTTCTCACTGCTAGCGTTGTTGTCCATTGGCTGCATTTCTTATCAGTTTGAGCTGCAGGCGGAGGGATTTCTGTCTCAAAATGTCAGAGCAGGTGTTCAATGGGTACAAGTTTTGAGGTTTTCCTGTTTGATGCATCGAAAGCGTCTGGTGGTTGGAGAAAATCATGTTGTCTCTTTGCAGCATGAAGTTGCTCCCTTTGTGGTCAAATTCTGGGCTTTTTTTATGCTGTAGAAACAGAACCTGCACCAACTAATGTCACAATTCACACCTCAGTTTATGTGTTTTTTTTTCTCCTCTTGGAGTTTAAATTAGACATAGGATGTTTTTCCAATTTTGATCATACTGCACCTTTAAATGGTACAAATCATACAGGATATTTGAGATGTTTGTTTCAATATAATTGCAGGTGTATTCTTATAATTTGTTTGTATGTATATTAACTACCAGTTGCATCTGTATCAGATTTTATAGACTTTCACCCAAAAGACCCAAAGGTTTTGCATCAGTAAGCCTTCTTGCTGTCGATGTGATTCTTGTGAAGAATGCTTCAAAAATGTTTGTTGCATGGCTACTTAAACTGATATGAACGTAAATCGTATTTAGTGTGGAACTGCTTGTATTAAACGGTCAGTAGTGAATGATTAATAAAATGTTTAACTCACCGAAAACAGTCTGGTGTTTATACACAGTGCGAGGCCGCTCAGTTTTATTTGAAAAGGGTAACTTTAATAAAACATCTACAAAAATAGAACAGCAATGAATAAGAGCTTGAAGATAACAAGCGTTTCTATAGCAACGATGAAAATGTGACAGGGAGTTATCTGTATATTAGTAAAGAAAACTGTAATCCTGTCCTTTGAATATGTACATACTGTGAACATTAGAGCAGAGAGATGAAATCAGATTGGGAAGAGTTATAGTAAAATGTTAAGAGCTTCAATATTATTTTACTAAAAGGGACAAAAATGTGATGGTCATCACCAGATTTTAAAATTTGGTTAATACAACCTGAACTGAGACGCATTCTTTAATAAATCGAGACAAAGCAGAGGCTCACCATGTGGGAGTTAACCGAGTGCTGAACAAATACATTTTATCAGCTGTTTAAACTGAAGTTTTAGCAGCTTGCTAATGTGTAATGGTACCACTGACCTGAGGAAAAACATGTTTCTGGTCATGAAATTCAAGAGTTATACCAACATTTCTGTACAATTTGGAATCAAATAATTCAAATAAAACCATTTCAGACTGAACACCTCAATATGCACGAGGGATCTTCAATACAACATAATTAGGAGGCTGAACAACTCGACACATTCGTCTGTTCAATAAAAGAGCTTATGGTAAAAAGATCTGGTGCAGTACTGCTTGAGGAGAAGCGTCTAAAGAAATCAGCTAAGAAATCCCAAAATTTCAGCCAAATTTTGAAATTAAGCTGAATAATTCAAGTCATATATATTTATATATCAAAGTGTCGAGAGTAAACTTTCTCTGTTCTGGTTTGGCTCATTGAAATAAAGTTTCAGGACCTTAGAGGATAAAACTTGTACCAGCATGAAACAATATTTCCAATATTTTTTAAAAGTAATTTTAAAACTCTTTTTGAAGCAAACATTTTGAGTCGAAAATGATCAAACTGTACCTTTAAGCCCCTGTATAGGGTGCTGGTTTGCTGAGTCTCCAAGCTATTGCACCATTTCTCCCGACTTTCTCCTCTTCACTGGACAATCCTCCTCATAAATTGGCAACACATTCATCACACAGTCTCTATTTGCCAACTTTCATGTGCTTTCTCTCAGTCTTTCATGCCTTTTTATTTTATATTCCTCGACTTTTATTTAGTAAATACATGTAAACTGTTGTGCCATTCAAGCCTGAACACAACTGAGATGGAGAAATGTGGCAAATTCAAGCAATGTTGAATAAAATGTACCAAGGCACCTCAAATAGGATGGAGGTCTTCAAGCTATTGCTCCTTCAGCTTCTTAATCATAAATAATGATGCAGCAATATGATTTTGTCCATTTCAGGAAATAATCTGGTGACGACCAAAAACATCTCTTGAAATCCCATAAATTGAAAGTGAGTGCACAAACATTTTACTATAACCGAGCTAAAAAAAAAAGAGAAAAGTGAACTACAGTGTATCAAAATGAATGAAATGGCACAACCCATCACTAAACATGTATAACTTCACAATCAGGGTGATCTCAGATTTACAGTGCTGTACAGACAGTAAGGTAGAAGCACTGGTTCCACCGCGGTCAGCTTACACATGGATCAACGCAGAGATCGACTTTCACTCCAAAAAAAAAAAAAAAAAAAAAAAAAATCAAAAATCCCAGTTTGAATAATGCCATAAAATTACAGTGATATAAAAGAAAATTATAAGATCAGTAACATCTCAGCGCTCTGAAAGCTTACATAGGATTGCTGTTTGAATCCAGAATGCCATTCCAGGTTTTAAAACAATTTTTTACATCTAATGGTTTGGCAGAACTGTGGAGGGGAGAGGAGGCCTCAGACGTTTTCACACCTCCTGCCAACAAGCCGGGCTTCTGTGCCTTAAAAAATGTCAATCAAGTCCTGCACCCTTATATATATATATATATAAAAATGCCGTATTTTCCGGACTATAAGCCGCTACTCTTTCCCCACGCTTTGAACCATGCGGCTTGTAGCTGTATGTGGCCTTTCTGTGGATTTTACTTCTACCACCAGGGGCCGCTTTAGCAGGAAGTGAATCATTGGAAGTCAAAATTGGAAATCAAAAAAGAAAGTGCTACTTTTCATTTAGAACAAGCACATGCTAGCTGCAGGCACGACGGAGAAATGTTTTCAAACTCATCATGGAAACCACACGGAGAAGTTAATATGATGCAGCTTTTAAGTTGAAGGTTATCGATCTGGCAGTACAGATCGATAGCCAGTGCACGTAAACTCGGCGTGAACGAATCCTTGGTTTGGCGTTGGAGATGGAGGGCTGCATCCTTAATAGGAGATTTATTAATGCCATCTAGTGGCCTTGTGGAAAACAGAGCGGCGGAGATACCAGGGGCTTATATGCATGTACGTTCCAGTTTTAAAAAAAATACTTTGTGGTTGCGGCTTATAGTGAAGTGCACTCTACAGCGTGTGTGTATATATATATATATATATATATATATATATTTTTTTTTTTGCACAGTACAGTTGTAAAATAAATTTATTAGGAAGGTGGAAAAAAAATGTTAAAATAATTTATCATATTTTTTAGGTAACAAAAGCCGGGCATTTTAGCAGGAGAGTGTGCATGTTTGAGATGCGTGTCCTGATCAGAATCAGGAATCGTCATTCAGACCCATTACAGAGACGAGTTTCATCACAGTCAGGGAAATGCATGTAGGGTAAAGTGCTGCTGATTTGTGGAATTTTAAAAATCGATCCTTTCTGACCGAGTCGCAGTCAAATAAAGAAGCGATGATAAGAAGAGGAACACCTGACGAGGTGCCTGAAAAGGAGTCCCAGAGCAACGTCTCTCTGATGGAAGAAAAAACACAATTATCTGTTAATTTGCAGCTGCAGACTCTCGTCTTCTGCCTTTTACTTCTTGTTTGGCGTCGGGTGCAGGATGGAGGTCGGATTGCTACGGTTAAAGACGGGAGACTCGTGTTCACGTTGACGAAACGGGGAGGCTGCTCCTGTCTGGTCCACGCCTCTTTATTCCCCCACAAACACTGTGGATGTGGGTCACTGGGCAAGAATGTGGGGCTGAGATCAAATGAAGAGACGTAATAAAAAGTAGGCCGAAGGGGACGTAGCTGGGAGTAAGCTCACTGAGTTACAGTGCATGCTGTGGGCTATAAATACTAAGACAATCCCTGCGTGACCTTTCACCTCCAAACAACAGCTGTTCTTTGTGATATTCACCTGTTAGTCCACAAATAACATTTAAAATGCTGAATAATTTGAAAGTTTCAGACATGAAGCTGTATTTTGTGCGAGTGATTCCTGCATATTAACTCTGCAGCATCGAATCAGCAGAGACACGATCTGAAATGGCAGAAAACTGTTTTGTAGACTGAACCCACCACCAGTTACTACGTAACGTAGCCGTTACCTACTGAAAAGACGTCTTTTGGGGGTCTGAGGTGGAATAAAAACCGAACCAGCGGCGTCTCAGCCCCACCCGCCCAAAAAGTACAAAATACAAAAGCGAGCAACCCCACTGTGCCTGTGAACGCACCCTCCACCACACCAGCCCACTTCACCGCTCAAGCAAAAAGTTCAACTTTCTTCCCGTCGTTCCTCCGTCAAACCATGTTCATGGCGTCCTCGGTTAGAAAGGAGTGGATGTTGGCAAAAGATGGGCGGAGCTTGCAGTCTCTGTTCCAGCAGCTCAACATGAGCTCATAGAGACCCTGAGGACACACGGCCGGCCTGCTCAGATACACCTGAGAGAGAAAGAGACACGTGTGATGAACGTCCGCACAGCTCTGGATCGCTTTGGGTTATTTTGACTAGCTTCATTAGCCCTGATCAGTAATCAAGTGGTCATCAACTCAGAAACCGGATTTTTTTTTTCCCAATCAGTGAACGCATCATATGGAAAACGGGGTAGCAAAACTCTTCTGCCCACATTAAAGGTGACTTATTATACTGCCTTGAACAGATTTATGGCCTAAACAAAACATGTTCATTACATACAGAATTCATTCTGATCTCTTTTCAGACTGAGCTGTTTTAGGGCGTCTTGTCACTTTAAATCTAAACGAGCTGCTGCTGACCACGCCCCCAACTCAACATTTACACTCATGTCGAAATGGCTGCAAACAGATGCGCAGTTATACAACCAACCAACTTTGAAAAGAAGCAGTAGAGCCTCCTGCACAACCAACAAGAATGCAGCAAGTGTTTCTGACATGCAAGTCAAAAAACAAAACACTTGTCTTTTCAGCAGCCACTATATAGCACATATAGTGGTAAAACAGCTGACCAAATGTGCTGGAGCTCCGCTTGGGTTGCTAGGTAACGGTGAAGCGGCCATCGATTGTGACTAAATTGGAAAGGTTTTGAAATGGCTCAATGTCCAGACCCCACATGTTGTTTTTAGAAGCGCAAAAACATGCAAAAAGTGAATTTTGCATAATAGGTCCCATTTAATCGTTAACACCATATTTAATTGAGAAAACCGAAGTTTTCTCAATTAAAACTGAAGTTTTCTCTCAGTTGCATCTCCCATAGATCTTTGCTAACCTGTTCATTTAAGCATAACAGGTCACCTTTAAGCAATAAGACTTGTAAGGACAAAATCAATGCTGGCTAAAAATAACACAAAGGCCCGTCTTGAACGATCCCAAATACTTGTGTAAAATAATTCTCTGGACTAATGTGTGTTTTTGAGGAGTCAAATCACTTTCTAAATGCTCATGTTTTGGCCGTACCTGTCTGCCCTGGTCTCTGAAGAACTCCCCTGCGTTGTCGATGACTTGCTCATCTGTGAGGTCGGAGTACGGCTGCTCCTGACAAACGCTCAGCATCTCCCACAGAGTGACTCCGAATGCCCACACGTCGCTGGCTGTGGTGAACTTCCCCTGCGGACACACACACACACCTGAACCTCTGCCTTCATCGTCTCGACCTCCATTAGTGTCACAAGAACTACGGACATCATTATCATAAAAGGTGAAACTGACTGAGAGAAATGACACGGCTAATGGGTTCCTTTCACATGTGAGTGCTTCATTAATGAATCACTGTTTTCTGAGTGCATTAGTTTATTTTATAATGTTTTATTTGTATAATTTTACTGTTAATGGTCCAAAAAGCCTTGACCTGAATTAAAGTGGTGGAAAATTGCAATGCAATTAAAAGAAATCCCAGATTGGTGTTTCCTACACAGTCTGGAAAACTGAAATTTAACCACTTTCAATTTCTGAAAAAGTAGCGAAAATAGCATCCATCGTGCAAATCCAGTTATCCTTGGAGAGATGCTGAGGCTTCCAGCCTGGACCAAGCTAATGCAGAACCACTTAGAGTAATATACAACTAAAACATTAGAAAACATCACAGGACAACACAGAGACACACAGGACAAATAACCATCTCACACCTAAGGACAATTTGGAGATCAGTAACCTGACATGTTTTCGACTGTGGGAGGAAGCAGGAGTACCTGAGAGAACCCAAGCATGCACACTGCAAAAACAAAATCAAGTCTAGTTTCTACTGCAAATATCTTAGTAGGTGTGAAATAAGACGAAACTAACTTGCATGTAACTTATCAGCAAGAAATAGGAGCTTATTTAAGTCAACAATTCATCAATTTTGATGAAAAAGTTCAAGTTATAAGTTATAATCTGGACATTTTTCCCCATATTACAAGTTAAATGATTTGTTCCACTGGCAGATTATTTAACTTATAACTGATGTATAAGATGATGTATTGAGCAACACATACAAACACAATCAATATTACACAATAAAAGATGAGGAATTATTCAGTATGATTGTTTTTCTAGTCAATATCATCTTAAAGCTGTTGAAATTAATTCTTCTGATATATTTCCAATATATTTTTCGATAAGGTGTTTCATATGAATATAACTCTATGTGAGGCCATGTTCAAAGATGTCTGTCTGCCTTGCATCCGTTAATCCATCCACGCATTCAGTTTTTCCAGCCTCTATATTTAAATCCTGAGCTCAACAGAAATATCTGCCCTGCATTTATCACAAACTTTTCTATTTATGCATTAAAAGCAGGGAGACTCCAGAAAGTTCAGTCTGGAAAAGTCTAGAGTTTTGTCTTAGAAGAGAAAACCATTTACAGATGAAACTAAAAGCAGTTCATGATAACCTGTGAGCACACAGACCATCGCGTCGCTCTGCCTGCTCACCATGAGGATGCACTCCCAGGCCATCCATCGTATCGGCAGCACAGCTCTGCCTTGGATCCTGTAATAGTCTCCGGCGTACAGGTTTCTGCTCATGCCGAAGTCGGCGATCTTGATGTGACGCTCCCCGCCTCGATCCTCTCCGCTCTCTCCCTTCTCCCCGCCGACCAGGCAGTTACGAGTGGCCAGATCCCGGTGCACGAAGTTCAGAGAGGACAGGAACTTCATCCCTGATGCGATCTGGCTGGCCATGGAGATGAGCGCTGGATAACTGAGGACAGGAGGGAAACGTCAGGAAGTGTAGCTGAGGATGTTTACTTTAAAGTTTCCTTGAATAGGTAGGATAGGTCTCTAGGCGATACAAAACCATGCTTAGACTGAGCTGTTTTAGGGGGTCTTGTTACTTTAAATCCAAATAAACTCAAAGTTTACAATCACACGGGAAAATAGCTGTGAACAGATGTGCAATTATACAACAGTTCATCTTAGAAAAGCAGAAGTGGAGCGTCCTGCACAACCAACAAGAATACAGCAAGTGGTTTCTGATTGGTAAGTCAACAGCAAAACACTTGTCTTTTCCAGAAGCCATTGTACAGCACATGCAGCAGTAAAACCAGCTGACAAAACGTGATTGAGCTCAGCTTGGGTTGCCAGGTGACGGGGCTGAGCTTGGCTGAGGTTGCTAGGTAACAACACAGTCCCCGATAAATACGCGTCAACAATAATAATGGCTCATTTTCAAGACACCAAAAAAATATAAACGTATAGCCAAAAATAAAAAGAAAAAAAAAGATAGTTTTTTTTTAAGCATATGTGCCATTTTTCTGAAACGGTGAAGACCAAAATGGAAGCACAAAAACATGCAAAATATGAATTTTATGTAGCAGGTGTCCTTTAAGCTACCTGATGGTTGGCGTGTTGTGTGAAGGCCCAGTTTTGTCCAGCAGGACACGCTGGGACAGATACTGGTTCAGGTCTCCACACTCCATGTACTCGGTGACCATGCAGAGGGGATCGCTGCTCACACACACTCCCAGCAGCCGGATGATGTTTGGGTCCTTCAGGCGAGACAAGATCTTCACCTCCTTCAGGAAGTCGTTCCTACCAGAAGAAAAGGGACAGATCTGCTGAGTCAACAGAACAAGTTCGTACAAAACTCCAACATAAAGCGCCAGCTCTCTGTTTTTTTTAGTTAGCGTTTTGTTTGAAAAGCCTCAACCATGAAGAAAACCACAGAGAAGCAGATATTTTCCTTTGTTTGCTGAAGATCTTTTATCCAGTTTAAGGCTAAACTCCACAGCAGAGTCTTTATCCAGAGCAGACGTGTCTGTTCCTGCTGCCTCGGTTAACGTCTCTCCCACTATGTTTTTGGTTCATTTAAGGCCTCGTTGACCAAACATCTCTTCACTTCTCCATTTCCCACCAGGGGAGGCATTTAATTTAAGATTTTCAGAGATCTTCTGTCTGGTACCAGCTGCTTGCAGACATGGCTCAGGAAATCAGCCATAATCTCCTTAA